CCTCCAGCCTCCTCGTATTTATTCTGCAGAAAGTCAGAGTGAGCTGATGTGAGAACGCAGCAGGATATAATCAGGAGAATTCACCTGGAGCCAGTGGGAGGGGGTGGTGACCTTTATTCCCTGTGATCGCTGCACGACCATAGACTGTCTGCACGCCACCTCTATCATCTCTGTGCTCTAATGAACCTGCTTCTGCATGTTTCCTGTTCTCCAGTATGTTCTTCTCCACTCTTGAGTCCTACAATTCTACGATTCTCTTAGCAGACACTTTTATCCAAAGTGACGTACATCAAAGAGTAAGTACAACACAAGTAAGGATCTATGAAAAAGGGAACAATGTCAGTAAGAGCAAACGATCAGCTTTGAGTCCGATTGGACACACAGGTGCTGACAGGAAGTGACCAGAGGCAAAGCACAACATTGACAGCAGTTCTTGAGAGCTCTAATCAGTATAGAAACCAGCTTATAAGTCGTCGTTATCAAACAAAAACCATCGTCATGACCATCATCATCATCAATAATATGGAGACCATCATCATTAAGTTAGTAGGTATTCATGAAAGAGCTGGGTCTTTAGCTTTTTCTTAAAGGTACAGAGGGACTCTACAGATCAAATGGAGTTTGGAAGTTCATTCCACCACCGGGGGGCAACAGAGGAGAAGAGTCTAGTCAGAGACTTAGGAACCTGTGAAGGTTGGATCAGACGCCTTTCATTGGCAGAGTGTAGTGGGCGGGAGGGAGTGTAAACCTGGATGAGAGAGTTAAAGTAAGGAGGAGCCGTTTTTGTTGCTGTTTTGTAAGCAAGCATCAGAGTTTTAAATTTGATGCGAGCAGTAACTGGGAGCCAGTGTAAGGAGATGAACAGTGGAGTGACATGTGCTCTTTTAGGAAGGTTGATGACCAGTTGTGCTGCTGCATTTTGTATCATCTGCCGGGGTTTGATAGTGCATGTAGGAAGACCTGCCAGTAGAGAGTTGCAATGTGTGATATCACAAGAGCCTGTACCAGGAGCTGTGTAGCATGTTCTGACAGGTAAGGTCTGATCTTCCTGATGTTGTACAGGGCAAATCAACATGACCGAGCAATCGAGGCTACTTGAACCTTAAAAGTTAGCTGGTCATCAATCATGACACCCAGGTTCCGGGCAGACTTTGTGGGCATGAGTTTGGTTGTTCCAAGCTGGATATTGATCTGTGGTTGCATAGAGGGACTGGCTGGGATGACAAGCAGCTCAGTCTTTGAAAGATTGAGTTCCAGGTGGCGTTCATTCATCCATTTAGAGATATCAGCAAGGCATGATGAGATTCTTGCAGAGACTGTAACATCGTCTGGTGGGAATGACAGGAAGAGCTGGGTATCGTCAGCATAGCAGTGGTATGAGAAGCCATGAGAGCGGATTATTGAACCAAGTGAGCTTGTGTATATGGAGAAGAGAAGGGGACCAAGCACTGACCTTTGGGGTACCCCTGTGGATAAGCTGTGCGCTTTGGATACTTCTCCCTTCTGACTCGAGATGAATTCTCCTGATTATATCCTGCGGAATTTTCACATCAGCTTTCTTCAGAATTAAGGAGGCTTGAGGAGAAACTCTGAAGTCTGAAATATTGGTCTGTTTGCATTCACACATGCAGCTCAGCACCAAAATATCAGGAGTGTGAAAGCTCTAAAAGACTTTTATTCTCAAGAATCGCTCACTAATACATTTTTCCAATTTAACATGAATATAAAATAAATATCTGTTTAGGTGTTTTGAACTTCTGGTTTCATTTACCTTCAAATAATTTGATCATGATCCTCTTCAAGTTGAAATATCTCTGAAGTTTATGATAAACATCTACTTTGTCTTTTATTGTCTTTGTATTTTTTAACACATTGTAAATGAGCAATGATCTCTTGAGGACATAAAGGTGGACTGATAACATTTTGATACTTACTAAAAAAGTGTTTTCCTGTAATATCTGACCTCCATGACAAACTTTGTGAGAACTACACAGAAGGTCTAATCTGGTGCTAACAATAAATAAAGATATCTTCAATGACTCAATGATGTGTTCAGATGTTTCCTCGACTTGCAACTTTGTTTGGCAATGAAAGAAATACGACAATGCACAGTGGTCGCATCATTATATTAATGTTGTCTGGAGTGAAGATATGGAGCAATATTGATTTCAGATGTACTGGATTCTGCACACAATATAAAGTCTTTGTATGTGTGTATGTAGGTTATTTCCACAAGTGCAGGTGGTGTCCTTATTATCAAGTGTGCATGTAGGACATGTATGCAAAAAGGAACATACTCCAAACTGAAAACACAGTCCCATAGCAGCGGGCCGTCTCCACCAACGATACAGAGGAAACTTAGGGGACAAAAGAGCTCAGGAGCTCCCAGGAAGATATGTGGCCAGTAGGTTACATGGCCTTTCTGCGATGCCCCCCTATCCATTTAAGTTACCAACCTGTTGTCAATGAATCCTGTCAAAATTGAAATGTTACATTAGGTGATCTTACTTGTGGCGGCTGTGGCTCAGTTGGTAGTGTTGCTCGTCTCTCAAGGTCAGGGGTTCTATCCCCAGCTCCTGCAGCCATATATCTATTGTGTCCTTGGGAAAGACACTGTTAGCTAGCTGTAAGTCATCACTTAGCGATTCAGTCATTTAGCTTCATTTTAATACTTGTCTGTCTGCACAAGCCGGCCTCCCACACTCCTCTAATTTGGCCTTATTTGTTTTTATTCTCATGTGTTAGCTTGGTTAGCTAGCTGCAAGTTATGCTAGCATTACTTTTAGACTCAGTTATTTCGCTTCATATTGACTAAATGAAGAAAGATGCGGTTATTCCTATCAGCTAAGGTATGTTTGCATGCACTGATGTTGGTTAACTTTGTTGCACGTAGTTAAGACCAATAAGTCAAGTTATTGAAATGCATTTTGCTATTTAGCTGGCTAGCATGATAGTGCTAGCTGCTATATAGCGGAGGAATGCTGTACTGCAGTCCAGCTAAACAGGGTACACTGATACAAGTCCTTATTATTTATTTTATTTATGTCTATTTATAGTGTAGTGTCTCCAAACTTTTGAGTCTAAAAGAATAACAGGGTTACTGTATCTGTGTTTGTTTGTCAAAAGTAGTTGCAGACTGTTTCACTGTCACAGGCAGGTATTAGATGTACTCAATAGTACTGTGGGCGGCTGTAGCTCAGTGGGTAGAGTTGGTCGTCTCTCAACTGGGAGGTCTGGGGTTATGATCCCCTCTGATCTATTATGCATGGAAATTATTCATTATTTTGTGCAATTTTAAAAGAAAAGAAAAATTGCTGCCCCAGCTGATGAACATGTTCCAGTAAATCTGTGCACAGTGCAAATAATAAGTTACTTAAAACTGTTCTGGTTACACGTTTGACAGCGCCTCATGGTCAGATGTGCCTTTTCTCGTCTTTGTGAGGAGTTCTTCATAAACAATGCAAATGCCTTCAAAGGGAAGTGAATAGATGAAGTCCAGTTTCTGTGTTGATCCAAATGCAACAAAGTCTCATGGATTAATTTTCTGAAGAAGGATTTTCAAGACAGCAACGTGGAGCCGCTCTGGTAGCCGATTCTTGCTGCTGACTTCACTCTGCTATTTCACCTGAAGTCTTCAATGACACTCAATAAATATCTTAAATATTCAACAACAACAAAAAAAGGGTCAGTTCCTTGAAACAAGTGTTTCTGATTCATCATAAATAACAAAGACAAATGACTCAAAGAATCAGAATGAAAAGAGGCACGCTCACACACTTCTTCAGTCGTCATGACGACCTGGGACGTACTCGGCAAAGATTACTGTTGAGGAAATGACTAAGAACTTGATTTCACACAAAGAGACTCAGTTGACTCAGATGGCTTACGTTGATGAAAGTTTATACATAAGATGAATACTCATGAGGAGACATGATTCAACATCACACTTGTGTACTCGTGTCTTGCTCAACCACATCTGCAGGACTATTCCAAAGGCATTTCATATATCCTAAAATACATTACCATTATCAGGGTCACATTGACCCACCTAGACTAATCTGTGACGTCAATTACACTGGAGCAGACAACAAGTTTACCAAACATCTTTGCAAATATAAGGGAAGAGAGTTGACACTCTCTAAGCCAGGGGTCTCCAACCTTTTTTCATCTGAGAGCTACTTTGAAAAAATGAAAGTGGCCAAGATCTACTTGCATCACATCGCTTGCATTTATTTATACAGCACACATCAGCTGAATTAAGCTGCTGTTTGTACACGTGTTAAATTGCAATAAGCCAATGCTTATCAATAATCTTAAATTCACATCAAGGTCCAAGAAAAAAACATGAATATTTTCTTCTTATTGTTGCTGAAAATTCACATCAATGTCCAAGAAATTATCACTACTTTACACTTGTTTTGAACCAAAAACAATGAACCAAATATAAGGGAAGAGGGAAGAGGTGCATTTACTGTCATCAGATATTTTTTTATTTTTGACACAGTCAGTCAACCTATAGGCGAGCTACTGAAAACCTCTCGAGCTACCTGTTGGAGACCCCTGCTCTAAGCTGTCTTTGGTCATCTAATAACAGCTGAACTCTATCAGGTCTGGCTGACATCATGAACAGTGAATAAACCTAATGACGTCTGTACATTACAATCTAAATTACTACAGAAATTTCACCACAATTACCACGGCGGTTGGTGTGAAGCCCAAAAAAAAAGTCAGAGAACCCACAGAGTTTCTCTGACTCCTGAGAAAAACAGTTAAAAATACATTTTTATATTTTGTTCTTGTCTGATTGTGACTTCTTCTTCAGTCCATTTGGGGGGGACTCGGGCCCTGAGGGAAACTCTGGGGTTAATCAGTACTCACCAGCAGACCCTTATGTGACAGAGAGACCCCATCACGGGCTGCTGAGCAGAAAGATAGCAGCTCACCACACTTATCTCCCGCTGAACACTAACCGCCACCCCCCTCAGCGCCCACTTCACACTGTCGTACGCAGATCTTTGGTCCAGTTGACGTTCATTTAATTTCACTTGATTTAAAACCAAAAACCAGCAAGTTAAAGAACCTCTCCAGTGTAAAGTTTTACAAAGAAGTGGCAGAGTTCATCGCCTTCTTAAAGACACTCTTGTTAAAGTGTTCCAGTGTTTTTTTGAAGCGGACATCCCGTAGGTTCATTAGGCCAAATATAGCTGTTATCTCAACCGCAGCATGAGTGTGCGGTTCAGCAGCGTGAGCGTTGTGAAGGGTAACTGAATGTGTCAGAGGATGACAGATGAAGCCTCAGAACCAGCAGCTGGAAGAAGACCATTAAGAAAAAGTGACCTCGGCTCACCCGCTCACAGCATCCTCTCTCTCAGTCCTGGTTATCAAACCGCTAAGTGTCGTCATCATCATCAGCAGGGTCCACAAGGAGGAAGGACAAGATGAACACAGAAGAAGGAGGTGGCTGAGGAGGAGTGAGGAGCGTTTCATGAAGTGAAGAGAACAACAGGGAGACGATGGACGCAACCAAAATAACCATGAATACTCTGTTTCTCCTCTGCGTCACGACAGGTGAGAATTTAAACAGCATCTTTGTTTTGTGTGAATGTTTAAAATCTGTATCTTCTGCCAGTTGAATGACTTGTTCTCCCTATGCTGTTAGCAAAGCCGGCAGGAGGCCAGACTTTGGATGTTTGTGCGAGCTGCCACGTGAACGCCACATGTGACGACAAGTTAGACGGCTCAGGGAAAGTTTGTAACTGCAAGTACGGGTTTGTTGGAAATGGAAGAGCTTTCTGTCAAGGTAAGGTTTTGTTTTTTAAATCTCATACTTGAATTTTGTCTGTCGGAAAATAAAAGGTTGATGAAGCATGACTAATTAAAGGCAGGGTTGGTAATTTCCTCCAGATCCACTTTTTCAGATTTTGGTGTAAATTGTCTTTAGGTCCTGACAGAAATTAATAACTCATGTTCTCTGAAAAAGGAACAAAGAAAATCCATCATCTGTATCAGTTTGTAAGTCTGTAAAAACATTGACCAATGTCTGCCGCGAGGTACCAATCTGTTGTAGATGAAGCACCGAGGGAATGCCTTTAATCATGTCTAATGTGAAAGGTTGTCTGACTCACTTGGCATTGCCGTTTTCTTCCATGCTTTGGTGTCTTTCAGCTCATTGTTTTTTTTTGCTTCAGTTTTACTGTCATCTTAAGCATCATTTCCATCAACAGCAGCCAGCTTTCTTTTTTCCCAAAAAAAATCACGCTACAGTCATTAGAGTTTGCTCACATTTCTTCTTAAACAGACTTGAGCTTATATTTCTTTTCTAGTCTTCTGACTCCTCAAAGCTCTTTTACACCTCAGGTCACACCTACATATTCACACACTGATGGTAGAGGCTGCTGAGTAAAGAGTCCATCAGTATTAACTCCATTCATACGCATTCATACACCACAACTGGTGTGGGGATTGAACCCTGACCTCCCGATTGAGAGCCACAGCCGCCCAAACATAATAACAAGGCTGAGAGTCGGTTATACAAGACTAAATAAAACTCTTGATCTATTAAAGAATGTGGACACTGCCAGGTAGACGACCATGTGCTCAAACAACGCCACAAATACTCCAGAGAAAGAGAGAAATGGAAATCAGGAAGGTTGGAGAGGAGTTATTTTTTTTGGGTTTGAACCCAATGAATATTTTATTGGAATGGGAAACTTAACATGCTATTTAAGAGAAACTGTGGCTGTGTCCCAAGTCACTCACTCATTCCCTCCTCACTATAAAGGGAGTTATATTTAGTGGACTATAAAGTGCACTCATTGATAAATAAAACATTTGAACACTACTCGCTCCCTCACCAGCAGCCACTGTCACACAAATACAATGTGTCTGTTTCCTGGTCATTTTCCTGATTATGGATGAAACAAGTTCAGAAATGTAAAATGTGACCTTATGAGCTGTTAAATGGAAAAAAGTGAGGGGATCAGAAAGTCAGTGGGATTTATTCTCTGGGACTATATGGCAGCCCATCCAATCTTCCCTAAATTGAAAACCCTTTGACTTGTGGCGGGAAAAGCGCAGGAGACCGAGGGATTAACATCGAGGACTTCAACTCTTTTTTTTTTTTTTATGTTTGTCTTCCAGATAAAGATGAGTGTCAGAGCGGAGTCAGTACGATCTGCGGGCCGCACACCACCTGCCATAACACATATGGCAGCTACTACTGTCGCTGCCTGTCGGGCTACAGCCCGTCCAACAACATGGACGTCTTCATCCCAAATGATGGAACCCACTGCCGAGGTGAACTGAAGAGGCCGTTCATGATATTACATTTAATCGTCATGTTATTATCATCATGTTACTATCATAAATAAACCTATTTACCTTTTTTAAAACATGGCTTCCTGTCTAAAATTTTAATTGCTTTGTTGTAAATCATCATCAGCAGCTTGATGGTAGTAGGGAATAAATCATGGAGTGCATCAAAAGGAATGTGTGTAAGTTAAGATGGTCTTTGCATTCTTGCACACCCCTTTCACATGCTTCAAAACTCAACATGAATTCAACTGTATTCATCTTTTTCAAATCTGAACCTGTGCTGTTTGACTCTGAGGAAGACGCAGTGTGTGCTCCGGTTCTTTCTTTGCATTCTGCCTGAGAGAAGGCGTTCGTTGAATTTTAACTTGAAAGGGCTAAAAAGATTATTTGAAGCCTCCTATTTCATATTTTGCAGCATGCTTGTTTCCCTGTCTGTGCAGACATCGATGAGTGCAGGAGGATCTCAGGCCTGTGTGGAGATGGAGGTCTTTGCAAGAATCTTGAGGGCAGTTTCTACTGCAGCTGCCAGCTGGGATACCAAGTCCACAACGGACCAGAGCGCTTCAATCCTAACACAAACAAAGCTTTCTGCAAAGGTATGATTGGATTTACATGGTCTCGAATCCACCCTTGGATTGATGATATTTTTGACCATGCTGGCATGAATAATACATTTCTACAAACGTACATGCGACCTGCTACAGATTAATTTAGTCTGGATTATGGGCTAAGCTCCAAACAGTCTGGGAAGCAACATCCTGCTAGATGCATCCTTTATAGACGACACATTTTTAATGGATGTTTCAGACTTGTTTTTACACCACACAAATTATAAAATTATACTGTTTATTATATCCTGTCCAATCCATTTTTCGATTTCTTAAAGGTCACATATTAAGTAAAATCCACGTCACCATGTTTCTCTAACACTCATATGTGTCTCTAGTCTGTCTACAAACCCCCCAATGATGAGAAAAGTCCATCCTCTTCGTCTTTTCCCTGCTCCACTTTTCAGAAAGTGAGACACCCAAGCCCTTCCAGAGAGGGGGCGTGGTCAGACACAGCTCATTTACATATTTAAAGGTACAGACACAGAAACAGCCTGTTCTGAGCAGGGCTAAGATAGAGGGGTTTATAGGCATGATCAAATACAGGATCAGAGTGGATTTAGAACAAGAAACTTCACACACATATTTTGAGGGGCTCTGAGACTTATTTAAACTGGATGAAAAGGAGGAGAATATGTGACCTTTAATATCTGTAGCATGTGTACCCCTCAATTTGGTCCTAGCGGGTATAATGTTGAGTGCTTGTACTGAGTGTGAAATCTGCAGATGTGAGTTCAGTGGGTGAAAAGATGAATATGAACTAGGGCTTTATTTTGTCTTGTCTCACTCAGTGGTTGACTGTGGGAGGCCCGCTGCAGTGGAGGACATGGTGTTGCTATCAGTCCCATGGACCACATACGGCAGTGTGGCCATGTTTGCCTGTGATGAAGGCTTTGTGTGGAGAAGTGGAGCCAACAGTTCTGTGTGCGGAGCTGATGGACGGTGGAGAGGACCAACTACGGTCTGTGAAGGTAACACAACAAATAAAAGAAGACCAAACGGCAGCCTCCATGCACAGCAGTAGATTTCTTCATGAGCTTTATGTAAATAGCCCTTGTTAGTCAGTCTGTGTTTTGTGACTTTGTATAACAGTTTCTCTGCTATGAACCTTCACAGTCCAGAAAGATGTTCTTCAGTCATTGTTTGACTTTTTAGGAGGTTAATATGATCAATGATATGATATGATAAATGATTAACCTGGTCACATTTATCGCGTTGGAATGAAAGAGTCAAGTACAATGGGCTAATGCTAATGTTAGCACACTTTAGTTAGCTCGTAGCTTCACATTGCATGTAAATTGACACAGAATGAGTGTGATCTAAAAACACTAATGTGACATCTAAATAATCAGTGAGTATGTTCTTCTTCTTCTCTCTAGTCCTTGACTAAAACAGCTTTTATACACAAGGGGAGGAGCCGGCCGTCCCGACCATGTAAACACGGCTCTGACAACAACACAGCCAGTGGGACTCGAGCTTCTCACTCATTGTAGACAGTCATGACTCAGAGACACATTTACACAGGATAGACTGGATTTATGATATATTTATGTGGAACATGTCAAACATTCTTCCTTTAATGACAGGCTGAGAGCTGGAGCTGAGGTGGGTTTTGAGCCTCTTGACAAACCTTTACGTTGCGCCCGCCTGTCAATCAGGCCAGGTACGCACCTAACTATGGATAACTCGTATCACTCTTAAAATCAGACTGATCAGTTACAGTGTGTGCCGATCGAGACATGAGCTAATCAGAACTATTTTAATTTTGTACCAGGCTGTAAACATGTTAATCTCTGCTGTAAAAACTGTTTTTGTTTTTTTTAATGGGTGTGTATGTGACTTCCTGTGCTTCTGCAGCCAGCCTCTAGTGGACACTCGAGGAACTGCAGGATTTTGCTTTCTAGCATCAGCTTCATTTTTCAGCCCCCGGAGTTTGCTGCTTGCTGTCGACTCTTGGTCCTGCTTAATTTGAACTCTTAACATCAAAATGTGTTTTGTAGCTTCTGCTCATTAAGGCATGAACTTTGAACTGCTGCAGAAAGGCTAATAAGCATTTATATAAATAACATCGCAATATGACACGTACACTATATCTTTTTACCAATGCAACATGTGGTGAAGAAGTAGAAGAAGTAAAAGGGATGGAAGGTGAGAACATGTATATACCATTACCTCAATGTCTGTCTTATCTCTAATACCCAGTTTAATTTGTTTCAGTATGACAAGTCTCATCATTACCAGTAAACCTGCAGAGTGTCATTTCATATCCAACAGTGCATGTTTTTATAAACATGTCCAGGAGCACAAAGATCATAAACTGATTATGGGGGTTGGTGCAGAGTTCCTTGAGATTTTCCCTCTCAGTTCTATTTCATGCAGCGTACCTGTCATACTTTGGCTCTCAGATGTTGACTGCGGCTCTCCGCCCTCGACGCCTCACGCTCACATTCTGTGGAAAAAGAGTTCAAGGGTGGGCGCTAAGGTGCACTATCAGTGTCACTCTGGATATCATAATGTTGGAAAGGGCGATGTGTCCATGTGTACGGCTGCTGGATCGTGGGAGAGACCGCCGGTGCTCTGTCAAGGTACACTCACCGTCTGAACAAATCCTGTCAGAATGTAGAGAAACAAACCGAGACAAACTGTTACGACGTCTTCGATTATTGCACGTTTAACTTCACGTGTAAACCAGTGTTGGGCACGGCACTGAAACTGTCACTGTCGTAACGATACGGCTCCACTGGTTTCAACGACGGATAGCATCTCAATGCTTGTCGCGCAATGCGTTATGGGAAACGCGCGGCCAGTCTAGGCAGTTTGCATAGAATAAAGCTCTCGCCTATTATTGTGTAGCGGGTGCGCTGGAGTGCTTCTCTAAACGCGCCGCAAAGATCCCATAATGCATTGTGCGACCGCCTCTCCGGCTCGCCATAGGAAATGAATAGAAAGCATCGAGACGCTATCCGTCGACGGCGCGCTACGTCGCTCGCGGTCAGGTAGGACACTCCAATAGGAAACAATAGAATCAGGCTGATTTTGTGAATGACGCTCACTCGGGTCATGGTCGACACGCTGTTAGTAGCTTATTACAGTTACTAACAGAGTTTTATTAAAGTAACTAGTTTGTAGGGATAGTGACTTGAATGTTACTTTTTCTGCTTCAAACCTCGTCTTAATGTTCACATTATTTAGTGTCGCTGTGACGACTTGCATGTGGTCATTTTCTGTTTGTAGGTATTTTACCGATTAGATCTCTGAAGGCGACAGACTCAAACGTCAACATATAGTACCTGTCTATCCGCCATGGAGTCCAGCTTACTGATCCTGCAGCAGGCGGAGTTTTAAATCAAGCCATGTCTCCACCTCGGTCTGCAGAGCTAACGTGAGCTGTACCTGCAGGTCTCCGTTGTCTGTGGCACGGCGCTCTCTAGAAGCGTGTTGTTGTTTTAGCTTGATGCTACATTCCTATGAGAGAAGTTTTCCTTCCTGAACGTAGACAACAACTCAACGCTGTATTCTTGTCATTCAACTCGAGCAGAGTAAAATAATGTTATTTCTGGGACAGGAAGCTCACAGCTGAACGACCACCTTAACTTCGTTCTCCCAGGATGCTGCTGTGCTAACGTTAGCGTAACCTTGCCACCTTGTTGTCGGCTGTTTCACATAAAGAAACGATTAATGAGCTTTTAAATGTCAACGGCGTTATTAAATCTGTAAAGTAACTGGATGCGTCATTTGCTACTGCAAATAGGAGTGGCGCTACAGTACACTGTTCCGTAGTGAGTGAGGTTATGCTAACGTCAGTTCTGCAGTAACGCGGTCCCAACACTGGCATACACTGAAGGTTAATGGAGCTGAATCCTGTTTTCTATTTCACATGGTTGTAAAATGTGTCGTTCTTTGTAGAGACCTTGTGCGGATTTCCTCCGGTGATTCAATCCACTGAGCAGGTGTGGAACAATAAATCAACACCTGGAAGCACCGCGCTTTATTTTTGTAAAGACGGGTTTCGTTACCAAGGAGGACACAATGTTTCGACCTGCAGTGGAAACGGTCAGTGGAAACGTCCAACTTTGTCGTGCCAAGGTAAATAAAACACGAAAGTGGTTACCCTTGACGATAATAATAAAAGATGATTTGATGAAAAGGCAGCTTTTGGTTGAAATTGTCTTTTAGGTCCTGACAGAAATTAATAACTCATGTTCTCTGAAAAAGGATATAAGACAATCCATCATCTGTATCAGTTGTAGGTCTGTAAAAACTTTGACCAATGTTGCATGATTTTGAAAGTAGCATTCCCTCAGTGCCCCGTCTGCGAGAGCACTGAGCGAGCAGGGAGACAGGGAGGCGTCTGATTGGTTCATCAGATTGGTACCTCGTGGCAGACATTGGTCAATGTTTTTACAGACTTACAACTGATACAGATGATGGATTGTCTTTGTTCCTTTTTCAGAGAACATGAGTTATTCATTTCTGTCAGGACTTAAAGACAATTTCCACCAAAATTTTAAAAGTGGATCGGGAGGAAATTACCAACCCTGCCTTTAAAGTGTATTTTTGGTTAACATTTTTAATCTATTTGAACACCTGACAGCAATATTATGTGGGGGTCCTCCTATACTGCCTCACACTGGGCGAATGTGGAATGGAAACTCCGCCCCCGGCAGCACAGTGACTTATTTCTGTAAAACAGGATTTTATCAAAGTGGAGGAAATAATATATCATCCTGCACAATTAGTGGTTACTGGACGCAGCCAGATATCTCATGCAAAGGTAACGATTAGTAACACTTTGGTTGTGACATTTCTTGGTCTAATCTGAATTTATTAATGTAGTTTCCATCCATGTAGAAGTAGACTGTGGTGTACCCCCACCCGTTCCTCATTCAGTGATGCTGTGGGATAATATCTCCACTGTGGGCTCTCAGGTCGTGTATCAGTGTCACTCTGGATACCAAACTGTGGGAGAGAGAAATGTGTCCGTTTGCACTGCTGATGGAGGATGGGATGGAGCCTCTCTGCTCTGTCAAGATGATTTCTACATCCATCTAGGGTTGATACCGATATTAAGAAGAGAAAGAAATCTGATACCGATAAATCAGCCATTATCTATGTTCGATCTTGAGAGTTAGATATATACAAATTTACACATTTAAACACCTTTTGAAAAGACTCAAGACTCACGTCCACCTAGTGTTTTTTCAGAGCAGAAAAGCGCTGGTTGTGCACTCAGGAGCCCTTGCATGAAGTGGTTGTGCGCTGATAGTAAAAGCGCTGCATGTCCATCCTGTCTCTATGACAACAGTCTGTGGACAACGGCCGCTGTATGACCAACACTGCTTTTTATTGCATGTTCTATATTTGAGATCGGTTATTTCCTGATCAGACACAAAGCGAGGAGGATGTGGGTACAAGTTGAAAGGTTTTCAACTTGAGCGCTCTGAACAGCCGCACAAAAAAGGCAGAACGCTGAGAAAAAAAGACTGGGCTTTTTCTCCATGCTACTCATGGAAAACAATTTAAAAAGACGCTGGCACTCATAAATAAACGCTAGGTAGACACGGGGCCTAACTGTGCATCACAGCTCAACACTCTGGAGAGTGATGATGTTTGTTGTAATCCATACAGTGCCCCTTGCAGAACTGATAAAATTAACCGATAACGATAGTCACTTGACACGTTAATATCGGCCGATATTATCGGCAGGCCGATTAATCGGTCGGGCTCTATGTCAGTCTCAATGACCAAAAGTTGTATTACCTACATAACATCAAATTAATCATGTGATCCTCTTAGTACATCTACCAATCATATTATTTGTTTCGCTGAACTGTTCGTAGAAATGTGTCTCAATGATTGTTCCAGCTAACAGTGTCCCACGTTGACTCAACTGTCTCTCTGTTGTAGAAATCAATTGTCAAAGGCCGGTTTTTAAACCTCATGCTAAGATGCTATGGGACGGCACGTCACATCTTGGCAGTGTGGTGCGTTACCAATGTGAGGAAGGATATCACACCAGGAGCCCGAGAAATGTCTCGGTGTGTGGAGAGAGTGGACTGTGGGAGGACACTGATATATGGTGTGAAGGTGCAATGTTCAATCATTTTGATTAACTGCTGTGAAATTTTCTTTTTTAGCTATTTGGTCGATACTCTTTATTAGTTTATTTAAATTTGAATACAATGGAAATATTCAAATCTAATGAACATGTGCTTAATATACAGCTAAACCAAAGCTTTCCTATCTTCTTCACTGCTCTGTTCAACAGTAACATCATTCTAGTTACTTAAAAGCAAAACAATTCAAGATGGAGTCAGTAGAAATCTTTGTTGCAGCATAAACACAACATTCAAACTAGGCCCCTCCTCCTGGGCTCTTCTCCCCCAGAAGCCCCGCCCACTGAAGGTTGTAGTGTGTACATTTACTGCTTGTACCTACACTGCAAGCTAACACACGCTAGACCAACTCCACGTTGACACAGGTAAAAGACAACACAAGGTTCACCCTCGTTTTAGAACAAGCTTTATCCACTTGGTGTTTCTCCTCACTCTGATTATATTTTCTCTTCTTTGCTGCTACGTCCACGTCCGTCATATTCACTGAATTGTATCCACTCCTAAACTCACCTGCTGCGCTCTCATTGGCTGGAGGAAACACACCAGCTCCGCCCAGAAACATCCCGTGTCAACCAGAACAAAGCAGAACAGTAAAATCCAGTCAGAGGACAGAGTCTCTGCAGACACAGTCACCACCACACATGTACGGAGGCCCAGAAGGGACCATGGAGCAGCTTCACTTTAGGAGAAGTCTGTCTTTTATTTTGAAGGAAAATGCTTCTGACTCCATCTTTAACCTTTAACCTCCATGTCTCTGACGGACATGTCTAAGTGCATTCCTGAAGTCTATGCTGGTTGCCTGGCAACTTCACTCAGACACTCAGACTCCGGTCTCTGTAACTAGATGCTTAAAAAAGCGATTTGTTTTCTAATTATCTGTTACTCTGTAGTTCTTCAGTTAAGAAAGTAAATGAGTGTATTTTTTCAAACTCTCAGGTATGTTGTGCTCTCATTGAGGATTGTACTCTTCTGTTTGTGATGTAAATAACACTCAGGCTGTCTGTGTGCAGAGATACGCTGTGGCCCCCCACTAAAGCTCCCCCATACTAACCTCCTGTGGGACGGCTCCAGTACCCCGGGCAGTGTGGTGCTGTATGAGTGCATGGATGGATTTTATCAGGAGACTGGACATAATGTGTCGTCATGTTTACTGTCAGGAGAGTGGGGGGAAGTGTCTGTAAAGTGCAAAGGTACAACTTCCACTTCTATACAAAGACGTGTATGTATTGAACTGTGGGAGGGTCTCTGACTGGGATTCTTACGTTTCACTCATCTGAACAGTTTCTCATTCATTCAGGCAAATTGCACATGTTTTGCTTCCATGCATGCACCTCATGCGCTTGTGTCAAGACCACAGTAACCAGGACCAAGACATACCCAAGACCAGAGTGCTCCTAGACCGAGACAAGACCAAGACATTTAGGGGATCAAGACCAAAACCAAGAGCAAGGCAGGGCAAGACCAAGACCATAAATATCTAAAAAAAATCATCATCTTGTCTGCATGTCACCCACTTAGACCGTACCAACAGGAAGTTTGTGGCATCAACCGGGGGATAAAAATCAAACTACAAATGAATTAAAGTTAATTTCCTTCTAGAAAGAGGCGTTTTCCTTCTAATCACATTAATAATCTGGAAAAATAGCCTCTCAGTGGTGGTCTTGATTTAAAATCTGGAGTCTGCCCACTCTGAGACCGAGTAAAAATGCTTTTGATTCGGAAATAAGACAGAGACCTCCAATAAGCAGTCTCAAGAATTAACCTTGAGACCAAGACTGATTTCCAGTACTTAGAACACTACATGAGTGCAAAGGATTTAGTAAAATTTTCGTCAAATTTCCCTAGCGGTGGTTCCTGTTCCTGATGACGTATCCAATCAGTATCTTGGAATTTCCAACTTCTGAGATCAAATGGAATGCACCATTAATTGGTCATTGCATTTAAAGAGACACACACACCAAAATGGAGCCTTCTGAGAGAGCTGGTTTATACAGGGTCACAAACCTCCTCTGGTGCTTGATTCATGTTATATTTTTGACCAAAGCACAGCACAGATGTTTCATTTAGACCACAGGGGACTGTTAGAAAAGCTGGAAAAGGAGGATAATGTGTCATCTCTAAATTACCTCCACATGTGCTGGTTAATCCATATATGAAGATCGATCGACTGCGAGACGAATACTGAGGAAAGACAGATGTTGTTTATGATTGACCATCTTGAGATTCAAGCAGCTCAAACACAGGCAGTCATAGAAATATGTGAGATATAAGCCCCAGATACCACTCAGTCATGTAATGTTGTTTTTTTATCTCCTAGCTAAATGTGGCCCCGTGCCGATCCTGGAGAACTCAGAGGTGCTGTGGCATAACAGAAGTGTTGTGATCCACCGCTGTGTGGACGGATATCACAGCTGGAGGGGCAGCAACGTGTCCGTGTGCAGCAGCTCCGGTGTGTGGGAAAACGCGACCATGACATGTGTCGGTGAGTCAGAAGAAAAGAGGAACACAACAATTCATTCATCGAGAGAGGTGAGGTGATCGATGTTGGCGGGTTAGATTATTGAAGATCTAGTGTGTGTTCTTCTTTTCCTTCATCTCTTAAAGAACTAAAGCCACCCGTCACTCACCTGTTTGTCGTCGATGAAAAGTGTGTGCACTGGAGAGCAGAGAAGTACGAGGACGACACAGAAGTTTACAAGGTAACAGGAGGTGTGATCGTCTTGTAGAATTTAGCTTCTCACTTTATTGCATCAGAGGTAAGTGCTTATCCTCTAACTGGTGATCCCGTCTTGAATCCTTCCAGGTGATGTGTGTCGGATCCAGAGACTACCAGAGGTCCTTTCATGATAAGAGGACGCGGTTTTTGAGATCCAAGTCCGACCAGCTGGAAGTGTGTCTGAAGCTGCTTCCTGTCACCAACTACAGCATCTCCATCACTGCAGTGTCTGCCAGGTTCACAGCCAGCATCACCACTAACACCAGTTTAACAGGTACACATCAAACCCAGTGTTCTACTCTGACCAAATGTTTCCTGCATTCAGGGCGGCTGTGGCTCAGTGGGTAGAGTCGGTCATCTCTCGACAGGAAGGTCAGGGGTTTGATGTGTAATTGGGTCTGTCAATGCCACGCTTTTGATCTGTTGGACTGTGTGCGCCCTGCCCCACTGGGTCTGTTTCTAGAGCGAGAGAGCAGCCATGATCAGCTGTACACACATCACAGGAGAATCAAGAGAAAAACGTCTCTTTGAGGATGATTTGTTGTTTGTCTGGCGCCTGTTTTGATGTTATGTTGATAAAGTGAGGAAAACGATCAGGAGTCTGTACTGTGTTCTTGGCTTTATTGTTTTTGTTGCTTTAATTGCTGTATTTTCCTGTTGCATGATAAATAATGTAAGATAATGGACAGTGAGGATGTTTCCTTTTGAGAGACTTGAGTTGTATTTTATTTTGAAATTAACCGGACACTCTGTGTGTTTCCTTGTTTGACTTCCTGTCTGGGTTGATTTACTCCAGTGTGACGCTTGCTTGCAACGGGCTCCGTTGAAAAACAGACTCGCAGCGTATTTGAAATGGAACAGAGCGTTGTGGTGCTGCTTGCACACTTTGGAGATGGACTGTGGCGCTTGCTGGCAAAGCAGGAGCATTGACTAGAGTGGCAGCAACGGAGCCGAAGTGCATCTGTAGGTGTGACCTGTGGTGCAAAAAAATCCAGTGTCTCCTGTGTAAATGTGTCTCTGAGTCATGACTGTCTACAGTGAGTGAGAAGCTCGAGTCCCGCTGGCTGTGTTGTTGTCAGAGCCGTGTTTACATGGACGGGACGGCCGGCTCCTCCCCTTGTGTATAAAAGCTGTTTTAGTCAAGAACTAGAGAGAAGAAGAAGAACATACTCACTGATTATTTGGATGTTAGTAAGAGTTTTTAGATCACGCTCATTCTGTGTCAGTTTACATGTAATGTGAAGCTACAAGCTAACTAAAGAGCACTAACATTAGCATGCTAACACAACAATTCTAATTTATAATTCGAGCTCAAGTGGAGGGGTGTCTGAGGTGTGTCTCTGTAGGAGAGCGGAGGCTTCAGTATGGAGGAGGTGTGGTCAAACAGAAGTTTGTTTGGTTTCATGCTGGTGCTCAAGGGCGAAATCTACTGGATCAAAAAGTTGCACATTCTTTCATTAATGTTAATGGGTATGTAAACAGGTACCTGTTGTTTTCCTGATCCGCCGCCAGCACCGAGGCGCCACGCGGCCTCGGGTGCGGGGATGTCAACCCTTTCTGAAAATATTTTGTCCTTATATTATTAAATCACATTTTCAGAAGTCTTAATCACACACTCTCTATAATCACATCCGACAGCGCCTCCAGCACCCGATGTCTACTTCAGAGAATTTGAGACCCCTTTACCGACGTTGAAGCTACGAAGGTCACTTAACACGCTCGACCCTATAAGGTAACAACACGATAAAACGCACCCTGCACCCCCCCCCCCCCCCCCCAAATGTCCGTCCAAGGTACTGACTTCTCATGCTGTTGATCTTAAAGTGTGTACCAGGTGTTTGTGCTTCCTGTGGAGGGGGTCATGACCTTTGACTGCTTGTCTCCTGCGAGCCGACACTCCTCAAACGAGCCCCCTGCAGAGTACATCGCTGCCATGATGGAGGTCATACGTGTCGGGATGGAGTTGAACTTCACTGTCGGGGACGGACTCCTCTACGGAGGCTACTTTAACGCTCGACTTGAGAACGGCAGGAATTACTACATAGTCCTACGAGCGGTCAGTCAGTGGAACGAGGTGGGTGAAACAAGTGGTGAGGAAGAAAGTGAATCAGACTTTAAAGTTTCATTCTTTAAGAGTGTTTTCTCTCTCAGGCTGAAAGAAGCACTTGCGTCCTGTGGGCTAAAGTAAGAGGTAAACACAGAAAAACACACTGACTTTTAACAAAGAAACCCAGGAGACAGCTCTATGGTTCTGTGTTCTTACACTCAGTGTTTACCTCGTCCAGGTACGTCCTTTGTTATGAAGGTTTCTGCGTCGTCTGCTGCTGCTTCAGTCGTCTTCGTTGCTGCGATCATGTTGGGAGGATTCATCTGGTATGGACTAAAAGTGCATTTCATAGAGTGAACATTTATCCATCACTGTCTCCATCCTCATGATGATTGTCTTCTTTTTCCAGGTATTACAGGAAGACCTGACGCTCTTCAGTGCTGATGTTTTTGTGATTTTAAATGTTGACCTCACACCTGTACATTTTGTAAATCATTTTAATAAAACCATTTTCAGTTACTTTCAGTGTACTGAATAGTTATTGGATTTGAATTAGAAGCAGTCAATTTGGAGTGACAGGCAGGTCTGAACTATCGGGGTCAGAGTTCACAGCTCTCAGGTCCAGTGAGACAATAACATGAAAGATTTGCTCATCCATGAAGGTGATGGGAGAATTGAAAACCTCTACCGATAACCAATGTATGAACTTATTGAGAGAGCGATAGAATACTGTCTGCCCGTCACGATACAGAGTCCCCCCGATGTAAACTATAAAAAGTATTTTGTTCCCACGGTGATCAAAATTCTGAATAATGTTTCTTAAGGCTGTGTGGGTTGTGTAATAGCGTGTTCCTGCATGTTTTTTATATTCTCTTATCTCTCATGCTGTGTTGTGTTGTCTTGCATTAGTATGTTCCTTTCTGTTTTACATGTGGATGTGTTTCTCTATTCTTTTTTTGTTGGTTGATTCTAAAGGAAGCCGCTGAATGTTTGGCAGCAATTTGAGTCCAAGATGAATTTTTGTTTTTCTTGTTTTTGTGGTTGTTATATATAAAGGGTAACTAAAGTCCAGAGTCAGAGCAAACCCTCCGCAACACAAGGTGGCGGTAATGCAACCGATGCCAACCGCCGTAAAAAAATAAAAAAATAAATAAAAAAAATTTAAAAAAAGAGACGAAGAAGAAGAATAGGAAGTAAACATGTTTTATTTCCGGTGGTGCTCCATACCCGGGTAAACACCACAGGCGAGGGTCCTCCCGAGGGCAGCCCACCTTTAACGGATCCGTTCTCCGGGGTTAATCAGGTACACGGCTGTGCCCACGACTTTAATAAATAAATAATGTAGTTAAGAAAAGATCGACACGACACCAACCGGAAACACATAAACACAACAGAGCTAACACTGCTGTGAGACGATTCTTCTGTCTTTGTTTGTCGTTGTTACTTAAAGATTAATACTTAAACTCTCTATTATCATCTTTAAAACAACATCAGGTCGTTACTGCTGATCAGTAAGATGATATTAAAGCGGACACGAGTCCTGTAAACACAGAAACAACCAGTCTGCTCCATCTCTTCAGACAGATTTACATCCGTGTGAAGTTTCTAAAGGATGAAGCAATGTTATGACCTTTTAACATTTCATATATTGTGACTTATTTAGCAGAGTTTAGACATGAACTGATTCGTAAATCAGGGCCGATACCGATGTTAGTTTCATGACTTCTTTTGTTGTCAGACTCCCTCAATGTTTCTCTCTTTACTTGTGTCGCAATGAAAACAAGTCACAGTTTGTCCAACAGTTTGTAAATACAAATCATCTTCTCTGAATCACAATCACAGGCTTCAATAAGACGCAAGCCTTTCATTATCTTAAAACTTCTGCAAGGCAAAGATGGGAAAGATTTACACCAGAAAGAATATTTAAAGGACCAATCAGTGAGATGTGTAGAGAGTGAAATGATAAAGTGATCTTACTATATGATCATTAAGGAAACATGCTATGTTGAAGTGCTGGCTTCTCTGACAACAATGCAGCAGCCAGTATGTCCTCCTTCTAACTTTAGATTCTGCTCCTGAATGCTCTGGATTTGTTTGGACCAGAGAAGGTAGGTGGTTTTAAGACACACCCCCACAAGGCCGTTTTGGACGCCCCTCTGTTTGTCAGATATGAGAGCAGTTATCAGGTCAACAGGTGTTGCAGTGATGGAAGCGGTCAAGAGAAGTGGTTCAGATAGAAGTGATTGTACCCGACCTAAAAAGCCTCTGCATGTTTCTAATAAGCTCCACGAGCAGAAACGTGCTCAAACTAGGATCAATATTGGAGATGCTTTTGAAAAATGGAGAGAGGTTAGAACACAGAAAGGTTTACAGACCCATGCAGAGCTGGATAAACACTGAAGCTTCAGTGTTCACCACATGGTGACCTGTGAGAGCATCCACTCTAGAGAGGAGAGGGGGAGACAGGTCTCTACAATGTTTAGAATTTAGACTGCAGTACCCATTTTAACCACTAGGTGTCAGAGTTACATATCGCTCCTTTAACTGTGTATGATATTAAGAGAGGTAGAATTTTTGCGACACTCTTGGAAAACGTCTCTGCTCACCTGAATGTGTGACAGATGCACTGTAGGACAGGGGGGAAATTAAGGACTCATGCACAGTGTCTCGCTTTATGCTGACACATTTATTAAATCATACAATGTGCAATCTTACCGACCTTAACCAGGTATGACTTTGACAACACTAAATGCAACAGGGCCTCTAATGAGAGCTGCCTTTAATTGTCGAAACATGCATCAACACCAGGTAGTAAATGGTACTGGGCCTTAAATTGAGCTGAGCTTTTATCAGAAGTTTTACTGTAATCTCTGAATAACAGAATATTTGTGATTCTTTATGTTTGAGCTAAGTTTGAGTAAGATTCCTGAGTATTCCTTAAGTTACTCATTGAACCACAACACCAGAAGACTACATATCAAGTCCACATAATACAACCTTCCAGAGGGTCTGACAGGAGCTGAGAATATAGAGATTTTTAAACGCAGTCTTAAAACTTATCTATTCAGTCTGTCTTTTATGTAGTACTTTATATCAATTCAAATCTTAATATTATTGTATTGTCTTTTTTATCCTACTACAATTTTAAATATTCTTCTCCTATGTATTCATTTTAATACCTTATTTGCTTTTATGTGTCGTATTTTCTTTTTTAATTTTTATATTTTTTTAAATTCTTATTGATGTGCATTAGTCTCTCAATGATTTTAGAAACTACTTTTTCATCAATAACTTTTTTGCACTCTTGTAAAGCACTTTGAACTGCAATTTCATTTATCTGAAAGGTGCTATATAAATAAAGTTTGATTTATTGATTGATTGATAATGTTCATGAGTAACCATGACAATGACACCGTCACTGTATTTGTCTTAAACAGGTGCTGTGCTGCTGTCTTTGGTTCACCATGGCCCAGAACCAGGTGATCTTGCAGTTCCGCTTTGCCACATTCGGTGACTCCATGTTGCAGAAAATGAACCTCCTGCGACACCAGCGACGCTTCTGCGATGTCACCGTGCGCATCAACCAGCTGGAGGTCCCCGGTCACAAAGTGGTGTTCGCCGCCGGCTCGTCCTTTCTGAGGGACCAGTTCATCCTGCAGCAGGACTCACGGGAGGTCCAGATCTCCATGATCCAGGAGGCGGAGGTCGGCCGGCAGCTGCTGCTCTCCTGCTACACGGGTCAGCTGGAGTTCCCAGAGCTGGAGCTGGTGCATTACCTGACGGTCGCCAGCTTCCTCCAGATGGGCCACATCGTGGAGCAGTGCACTCAGGCCCTCAGCAAGTTCATCAAGCCTCTGCCCGCGCGCCCGCTAGATGTGGACGAGGACATGAGGAGCGAGAGGCGGGAGGACGGTTCATCCTCTCAGACCGAGAGTGAGCAAGGGCGCTCCACTGTACGGACCGACCTCCAGGAGGACGAGGAGCAGGTGGAGGACAACAATAACGTGGACGAAGAGGAGGACAACTATGATGATGACGACGATGATGTCATCATACAGCCTTATTCACCTCCTCAGATGTTAAGCAGGCGTCCCAGGCAGGAAGTGGTGGAAAGTGACATCACTATAGTGAAAGTGGAGTCTGTGTCTGATGCAGCAGAGAACTCTATCAGCGGGCATTTCCCCGCCAGCCCCCCTGCTGCCCTCCACTCCCCCGAGCCCCAGCACTCCCTCATCAACTCCACCGTGGACAGTCGCGGCAGTGAGATGGTGGCACTGCCCGGCGTGTCCGGATACCCGCTGAGCCCCCCTCCTCCTTCTTCCCCTCCCGCAGAAAAGCACCAGAGGAACTACGACAAACCCCTCCAGTGGTACCACCAGTGCCCCAAATGCGCCCGCGTCTTCCGCCAGCTGGAGAACTACGCCAACCACCTGAAGATGCACAAGCTGTTCATGTGCCTGCTGTGCGGGAAGACCTTCACGCAGAAGGGCAACCTGCACAGACACATGCGCGTGCACGCCGGCATCAAACCCTTCCAGTGTAAGATCTGCGGGAAGACCTTCACCCAGAAGTGTTCCCTGCTGGACCACCTGAACCTGCACAGCGGGGACAAGCCGCACCGCTGCAACTACTGCGAGATGGTGTTCGCTCACAAGCCCGTTCTCCGGAAGCACCTCAAGCAGATCCACGGGAAGAACAGCTTCGACAACGCCAACGAAGGCACCCTGCATGACGGAGGGGTCGACTTTGACTTTGGACGAATATAAAAAAATCTCTGGACCTTTTTATTTAATTTTTTTAAGTAGCTCTCTTTGGATGCCTTTTAGTTATTTAAACGAGCATGATGCAGACATGACTCCACTGAGTCACCTTAAAGTTATCAGTTCAAAAAGCTTAGAGACTGTTACTGTGTGTGTGTGTGTGTGTGTGTGTGTGTGTGTGTGTGTGTGTGTGTGTGTGTGTGTGTGTGTGTGTGTGTGTGTGTGTGTGTGTGTGTGTGTGTGTGTGTGTGTGTGTGTGTGTGTGTGTGTGTGTGTGTGTGTGTGTGTGTGTGTGTGTGTGTACCAAGCCAATGAAAACTTTATCAAAGATAGGGGAGGCTGGTGCGTCGGCCTCTTCCTGACGGGTCCACCTGGTGAACACTCCATATGTTTTCATGCTCTACATTTCACTGTAGCGTCATTATTGTGGACTGGAACACATTGTAGATGCCTTCATATTGTACTTGAATATTCAGCACTGAAACATAACGACTGTATATCAAAAGTTTTTATATCGACGTCTTTGTGTCTCTTATCTAAGATAATGAACAGAATGAATATGTATCCGTATGTGCATGGGCGGTTCTAAGCAGGGGCCAACAGGGGCCAGTGCCCCTGTAACACTGAGCTCCAAAAGGAAGAGCCCCCCTAATAACATATACACAGTATTTGACTCAACAACCAGACTCACAATCTAGAATTAAATACTGTTTCTGAAACAAATATGATGTCCGTATTATTTGGCATAATATATTGTTTTAAAGCGATCATCTTTGTCTATTTCTCACCTGGGTTTAATGTTCCCCTCTGAAACAACTGGCCCCATTTTGGCCCCCTCAGTAAAAGTGGTCTAGAACCGCCCCTGCGTATGTATCACTCCTCCTGTGTATCGTGTGTACAGTTTACTGAAGCCTTTTATTTCTTACATTTGTGAATACAACATCATGGACGTCATGACCACAAGAGACTTAAAGAAGGGGCGGGCAGGGTGAGACTTTGAAGGCGAGCTATGCCACTGAGCGCTGGGATGCCAAAGTGTCCGTGTTTCTGTAAGTCATACAGAGCTTATTTCAGAGGTACGTGTGGACCAAAGTGACATGTCCTGTGTTTCATGCGGACGTCAGTGTGTGTGTTAGAAAATTAAATGTTTTTCTTGTTACTCACAAGTCTTCATCAATCATTCACATCAGTAGTTCAGTATTTATGGACGTTTACAGCTGTGCGATGTTAAATCGACATGCCTAATGTGAACTGATGTATGGAAAAATAAACGTGTAAAGAAATTCAAATGTAGAAAGAAGATTGACAACAATGAGTCTTTAAGTCATCTTTTATTTCTCTCGTGACGTTCAGTTACAAGGCAGACCAATAACGAGAAGTACTGTTTCTGCTGATGCCTTAAAGGTCACATATCTAAAATCCACTTCACCATGTTCCTCTAAATCTAATATGTGTCTCTAGTCTGTCTACAAACCCCCCAATGATGAGAAAAGTCCATCCTCTCCGTCTTCTGCCTGCTCCACTTTTCAGAAAATGTGTGCTCAAACAAGCCGTTTGGAGATTTTCCCTTCATGACATCACAAAGGGCAGTAGCCCCTCCTCCAGGTGGGTGACACTCCCACAGCTAGGTGTTTGTTCTGCCCTCTGAGTCTGCCTTCTCACCGTAAACAATAGGACATGGAGCGAGAAAGACCGAGACACCCAAGCCCTTCCAGAGAGGGGGCGTGGTCAGACACAGCTCATTTACATATTTAAAGATACAGACACAAACAGCCTGTTCTGAGCAGGGATGAAATAGAGGGGTTTATAGACATGATCAAATACAGGATCAGAGTGGATTTAGAACAAGACACTTCACACACATGGTTTGAGGAGCTCTGAGACTTATTTAAACTAGTTGAAAAGGAGGAGAATATGTCACCTTTAAGGCTGCTTTCACCAGCTTTTTACCCCCTTAAAGTAAGCAGGATCTAAAGGGGATGTGAATGTGCTGCAGTGTTTTGTCTCAGTAACCTGACGATGAGGGGCGGCAGAATCTCAGTCTGTAGGGACTAAGGTCAAGTGACAGTGCAGACCAAAATATGGAAGTTGGTCTGGTAGCTTGAGAGGTCACAGGTCACTTCCCGAGTCCAGCTCTGGTGCACCCCCTGTGTAGCTGCCCCACTCTGTCATCTCTCTTTTAATGCATGTCCACAGCTCCTGTTTGTGCATGTGTGTAGAATTTCCCCTCAGGGATCACTAATGTAAAATGAAAACTATTACTGTGTTGGCTGAGCAAGACTACTACTAAAATATGCAGCCATCTTTCCAACTCTCCTATTTAAAAAATTGACTGATAACACTGACTGAAGTGATAATTACCGCCTTCTCTTTTCCTGCAGGATTATAAAACTGACCAACTTTTAGCACGTTTGTGTTTGCACTGAAAAATTTAGGATGTCTACCACAGGATGGAAATATAAAAGCTGCAACCATGAGCTGTACTTCCCAAACTGTATTTTTGTAAACGACCAGCCAGGTGTTAAACACACTGGAGACAGATATGTGCAGTTCATAAGATTTGAATACAATGATTTGAATAAGGGCAGCCGTTTTCCGCTCATCATTATTGCATATTGAGTCCATCTCTGGTGCAGCAATGAGCAAGACTGGAGGCTGCTGCAAGAGCTTTCTGCATTTTCTGTTTGATTATGAAACCAATAAAACACTGGTGATTACAAGCCTCGGGGTCGGATGTTTCTTCAGGCTCAGCCAGCTCGCGGTGCTGCTGTATGCGGTGGGGTGAGTGCAGATCTGAAATATACCAGCCATGGAGTACAGCTGTTATGAGCTGCTTGGTGATTTGTTGTGCACACTGCTGTCAACCTGCAGGTATGTGTTGATGGTGCAAAAGGCCTACCAGCAGACAGACACAGTCATGAGTACCATCACCACTAAAGTGAAAGGGTTCGCCTTCACCAACAGGTCGGACATGGATCCACACTTCTGGGATGTGGCTGATTATGTGATCCCTCCTCAGGTATCGTTATCACAGAACGTTTGAGACCACTCTTCTCCACGTTCAGTTATTAAAGCTCCTGTGAAGAACTTTCAGGAAGTGTGAGTTTTGACGCCCCCTGTGGTCAAAGCAGTGTAATGTTTCTCTAAAGGGCCCTGTCACACCGAGGAGATCGTCCACCGTCGGTGAGCGGTCGTCCCTCTAGTTTTTGCAGTGTGTCCGGCTCCATCTCTACCCGTCTGCATTTTTTCAGCTGATTCGACATGTTGAATCGGCAGTCGTTGAGAGGGATCTCTCTGATTAATTTCCCTCACGCTCTCCTCTCATGACCTGCCTGAGGAGATCAGACGAGCAGATTCAGGGACATCTTTTAACTGCTTTTATTGATCTATTCCTTCCTGTATTCATTTTACTCCTCTTAAACTTGTATACATTCCTCCTCCTTCTTCTCTTCGGTCCTCTGTTGCTTTTATAAATTCATTTAACCATCTCTCTTTGGCGCCTGTGATGTGACGTCGTCTCCCTCTCTCTCTTTATGTCTGCATTGTTCTCATCATCTTGTTGACTTTGTATCTTTTGTTTAACTTTCCATCATCGTATTGTTTTATAGCTTTAACTTCCTCTTTAGCCTGCCTGTTCTATCCTTTATGTTCCTGTTATTTGCATTTATATGATCTCTTGTTCTGTTGTTGTCCTGACTTCATGTCTTTGTTTTATTATTCAAAGCACTTTGTGAACATTGTTTTTAAAGGTGCTAGATAAATGATCAATCAATCAATCAAACTTTATTTGTTCAGCACTTTTCATACACAAATGTATCCCAAAGTGCTTTACATCAACATTTAATCAAACAGCAACAACATGACTCCCTCCCCATCCCATCCCACAATCCAAAAACTAAGGTCAAAATAACTAGATAAGAAACGTAATGAGGAAAATGAAGTTATTTTTATCCAACAAAGCCAAATATCGCCCTAAAAATATAACTTTAAGAAAATATATTGTCCTTTAAATATGAAATTAATGTTTTCTGATAAACAATATCTCACCCTGCGGCTGTGGCTCAGTGGTTGAGTCTGTTGTCACTCAACTGGAAGGTCGGGGGTTCGATCCCCAGCTCCTGCAGCCACATGTTGATGTGTTCTTGAGCAAGACACTTAACTCAAAGTTGCTCTCACTGCTTCATCAGTGGTGTATGAATGGATGCGTTAATACTGATGGTCTCTTTACTCAGCAGCCTCTACCATCAGTGTGTGAATGTGTATGAATGGATGAGTTAATACTGATGGACTCTTTACACAGCAGCCTCTACCATCAGTGTGTATGTGTATGAATGGATGAGTTAATACTGATGGACTCTTTACTCAGCAGCCTCTACCATCAGTGTGTGAATGTGTATGAACGGATGAGTTAATACTGATGGACTCTTTACACAGCAGCCTCTACCATCAGTGTGTGAATGTGTACGAATGGGATTAGTTACTTCTGATGGTCTCTTTACTCAGCAGCCTCTACCATCAGTGTGTGAATGTGTATGAATGGATGAGTTAATACTGATGGACTCTTTACTCAGCAGCCTCTACCATCAGTGTGTGAATGTGTATGAATGGGATTAGTTACTTCTGATGGTCTCTTTACTCAGCAGCCTCTACCATCAGTGTGTAAATGTGTAGGTGTGACCTGCAGTGTAAAAACACTTTGAGGAGTCAGAAGACTAGAAAATAAATATACAAGGTGGTCCGTTTACCATCCTACTTTACTTTTAAAGTTCTGTCGTGACGACGCTCTGGAGTGGAATATCTTTAAAAGGGCTGTTTCCTGCAGAGTGTGGTTAACTTCCTCGTCAGACTCCTACCCCGCTGGAGGGGTGCCAGGCATATTTAATATCTATATCTTCATCCAGATGTCATATAGGGGAGCAGTTAATGATGTCTGTTCCATGAGCAGCTAGAAACTCCTCACAGGAGCTTTAACGATGGTTAGCTTGGTTATGACTGAGTGTAACACCCCATCACTGTCTCAACACTCCTGTGCTTGTTGTTCCCTAACAGGGTGGGGATTCATTCTTTGTGCTAACGAACATGGTGATAACTCCACATCAAACTCAATCACGATGTCTCGAGGTGAGTCACCGATACTACACGCTACGACGCCAACATTATCGTCCTTTTTATTTTTATTTCACTTTACCTTTATTTTACCAGGCAAGAATAGCTTGAGATCAAATTACTTCTTTTTCGAGCAAGGCCTGGCCAAAATGGCAGCAGTAAAAAACCTGCTCTGACACATTGTTTATTGTTTACATGTTGTTAGAGTTAAGAATGTTTTTCAGAACTTTCTTTAAGTGTTTCTACAAATAATCATTTACAAGTTATTGTCCCAACAAATTGTTACCTCTTACTAAAAGAACGAATAACTTAAATTCATCTATAATTTGATATTTATCCCCCCGCTTACAGCAGCAGCCTTCCCAGTGTTACGGTCTAAATTTGTCTAAATAAGACATGCCCTGTGCGCACAGGATGATGATTTTCAGTGATATTTATGGTCTTGGTCTTGGTCTTGGTCTTGTGTGGTCTGACTACAACATTAGTGTTCAGCGTACATAAAAACAGTTCATTGATGATGTCTGAAGAGCCATGATGAGGGCCATTGAGCGTCTACATCAACGAGAGGGCATCACAGTTCCTGTCAAACAAACAGAGAGTTCATGCTGTCTCCTCATTGGTCAGCTACAGCCTCTCATAATGTAAACAACATCACTTATGCACTTAATCTAAGCACACTGTATATACTGTATAAACTGTAACTACAATCAATCCCGTCTGTTGATGTGTAATTCCTTCTTTGTGCCACTAGAGCTGGCTCTGACTCTGATTAACTCCTGTGATGTCGTCCTCAGCTCCCAGGCCCATCAGCTACTTGTGTGGACGATTGTGACTGTATTGAGGGATACAATGATCCTCGAGGCAATGGTAGGCCTTTCTCACATGGGTGACATCAGACTGACATGTGCTAAAGGGTAATAGTGGTGCTGCAGTGGTTCTCAACTGGAGGGTCTGGACCCAAAAGTGGGTCACGGCGGGGCATGTGCACCTGGGGGGAAAAAAGTGTGTAAAAAAAGTCCATGAAGCATTTTAAACATTTGATTGTCAATTTTTTTTGTCCTGTCGCATGTTTTGTACCGTGCAGAGGCTTAAAGGTCACATATCCTCCTCCTCTTCTTCAGTGTAAATAAGTCTCAGAGCTCCTCAAAACATGTGTGTGAAGTCTCTTGTTCTAAATCCACTCTGATCCTGTATTTGATCATCTCTATAAACCCCTCTATTTCAGCCCTGCTCAGAATAGGCTGTTTCTGTGTCTGTACCTTTAAATATGTAAATGAGCTGTGTCTGACCACGCCCCCCCCTCTCTGGAAGGGCTTGGGTGTCTTGGGCTTTCTCGCTCCATGTCCTATTGTTTACGGTGAGAAGGCAGACTCAGAGGGCAGAACAAACACCTAGCTGTGGGAGTGTCACCCACCTGGGGGAGGGGCTACTGCCCTCTGTGATGTCATGAAGGGAAAATCTCCAAACGGCCTGTTTGAGCACACATTTTCTGAAAAGTGGAGCAGGCAGAAGACGGAGAGGATGGACTTTTCTCATCATTTGTAGACAGACTAGAGACACATGTTAGAGTTAGAGAAACATGGTGAAATGTTTTTTACAGCATATGTGACCTTTAAGTCCTTGTGAGCCTGAGTTTGAATCAGACCTGTTGCAGATGCAACAGAGAGATTTCCCTCAATCTCTCTCTCTCTCTCTCTCTCTCTCTCTCTCGCTCTCTCTCTCTCTCTCTCTCTCCCCCTGGTTCTTACTCTATCCATTGAAGAATATCATGAAGGATTCGGTGGTGGGCCCTGAGGTTTAACCAAAATTAAAAACCACTGATGTACAGAACACACCACCTTACACCTTTTCCTTTTTACTCTCAGGTATTCGGACAGGTCTGTGTGAGAACTATTCCACCACTGCTCGGACTTGTGAAGTGCTCTCATGGTGCCCTCTTGAAAAAGACACAAATCTCCCTCAGTAAGAACAAACGCAGAGTCGTGATTTTTAAGTAATTCATGTAAAATCTAGATTTAATATGACGTGCTGGTTCTCTGTCTCACAGACACCCACTGCTGGCTGCTGCAGAGAACTTCACAGTGTTGATCAAAAACAGCGTAACATACCCCAAGTTTAACTTCCACATGTCAGTGCTTAAGTGTCTACGGCTAGTATAGTAAGCAATCATACTGCTTCATTGTGCTCGCTTATATCAAATGTGTGTTTCTGTGATCCTCCAGGAGAAACATATTGCCTCACATTAACTCCTCATACCTCAAGAGGTGCATATTCAATCGTACGACAGATCCGGACTGCCCTATATTTCGCCTTAAACACATCATTTCAGAGGCCGGAGAGGACTTTGAAGACATGGCCGTTAAGGTACAAAAGTACTCACTTTAAAGGAAGAATGTGCAACTTTTTGCTCCAGTAGATTTCGCCCTTGAGCTCCAGCATTAAACCAAAACAAACTTCTGTTTGGCCACACCTCCTCCATACTGAAGAATCCGCTCTCCTCCAGAGACACACCTCCAACCCCTCTCCACTCACGTTCACATGGAGTTATGAATAAGAACTCACCATAATTAAGCACCATTAAGCGCAAAGCAGTGGCCAAACTCGTCCTTTACTCGAGCTGCAATCACCTGTGTCCTGCATTGTTGTGTTAGCATGCTAATGTTAGCGCTCTTTAATTAGCTCCTAGCTACACATTGCATGTAAACTGACACAGAATGAGCGTGATCTAAAAACTCTTACTAATATCCAAATAATCAGTGAGTATGTTCTTCTTCTTCTCTCTAGTTCTTGACTAAAACAGCTTTTATACACAAGGGGAGGAGCCGGCCATCCCGTCCATGTAAACACGGCTCTGACAACAACACAGCCAGCGGGACTCGAGCTTCTCACTCATTGTAGACAGTCATGACTCAGAGACACATTTACATAGGATAGACTGGATTTATGAGATATTTATGTGTAACATGTCGCACATTCTTCTTTTCAACTCTTTTATTACTTTGAATTTGTGACTGCAGACTCTTTTTAATTTAAGTGGTCATCTCTCTCACAACATAGAAACGTTTCGTCTCACCGCTGAATGATGACTCATTATTAATCGTTGTTATTGGTCGTTTTCAAAGGGTGGGATCCTTGGTATCATTATTGACTGGAGCTGCGACCTGGACTGGTGGGCGGGGAAGTGTTTCCCCAAGTACAGCTTCCGCAGGCTGGACAACAAAAATCCTACCAATAACGTGGCTCCTGGTTACAACTTCAGGTGAAGGCTGAAAACAAAACACAACAACCTCTTATTCATGAATCAATTAAACATACAAACATTGCTTTTAGGTTTGCAAAATACTTCAAGACACCGGATGGAGCGGAAACCAGAACCCTGATTAAAGCATACGGGATCCGGTTCGATATCCTCGTGTTTGGAACGGTGAGACCTGATTATCATAAATTTGAAATGATTTCATCAGCAACATTTGAATGTTTCCTGAAGTATCATCAACTGGTTCTTTTATCTTGCAGGCAGGGAAATTTGGAATTGTACCGATGATAGTGAGCTTAGGTGCAGGACTGTCGTTTCTTACTCTGGTGAGTGGACGTCTTCTGTCCTCCTTCACAAATATCATTTATTAAAAGCTATTTTTATATATATTTATCCAAATGATTCACATGTTCCTGTAGGTTCCTCTTGTTGCTGATGTGTTTATGTTGACATGTGCGAGAAAGAGGCATCTGTACAACAAACACAAAGTCACATATCTGAACGAGGATGAGGACACTGAACCAGTAAGTGACTCATTTCACATCCCTCACAGCATCAACAAATCAGTCTTTCATAAAGTATTACTTTTTTAAATGACAACCTCTACTCAGCTGTTGATGTGTTCTTCATATTTTATTGTACAGATGTCGATGGCCACCTCATATGGGACACAGTAACGTGGTCACATCGACGCGGGAACGTTTGTCTGCAGAAGGAATTTAACCTGTACTTTAATAATCACAATAAAGTAGTATCACTTCAACATCATGAATTATCAAATAAAACAGGTTAAATGTTAAAATCTAAAACAAAGTGTTTCAAGGTGTTATTTTGAGTACTTTCAGTTCTCTCAGTTTAAGATTTTAAAGAGGACATCTTATCCCCCTCCTCCACCTTTTCAAACAGTCCCCTGTGGTCTAAATGAAACATCTGTGCTGTGCTTTGGTCAAAATATAACATGAATCAAGCACCAGAGGAGGTTTGTGACCCTGTATAAACCAGCTCTCTCAGAACGCTCTGTTTTGGTGTGTGTGTCTCTTTAAATGTAATGACCCCCCCCCCCCCCCCCCCCCCCCCAAGTTTTCCTGGTAGACATCACTCCTTTGCTAGCGAGAATAAAAATGGCGGACCTGTGAAAAAGTTTTGCTCTAGGCTGGGGGTGGAGTCCATGGGTGGAGATACCAGGGGAGGGGAGGGGATTTTTTTTTACCAGAATCCCACTGTGACATCACAAGGAGAGCACATTTGAAACTGAGAATTTTTTTCTTTGTTGTAAGACTTATACAGACCACAAACAAAGGACTGGATGGGTTTATTTCACTTTTTTTTTATGAAGAAATGTAAAACACCATCAGACACAGGGATATAATGTTTTTCAGTTTAAACATTGCTTGGCTAACAAGAACCATAACTTGAGTGCAAAAGCAATTATTCGTTTCCTACATGCCACAGGAGGATTGCATTCAAGATGTTAAGGAGAAGGGTTTAGTTTCTCTTCACCTGTGGAGGACAGTTTTACGCCGAGATGCGTCTCAACTTCCGTAATATCTAAAAGAAGAACTTTAAGTATTTTTGGATATTAAGGGAGTTACTGGAGAAGAGTTGCAGAAGCTGCTGAGAGAGGCCTTCAGAGCATTATTCGTTGTTTCCCCCTTATTCACAAGTTTATGTAATTCAAAAGATTGTAGATTAATTTGAAGCCAGTAGCTGACAGTAATGAAACAGTGTGGATGCCAACCGCCTTTAAAATCCAACGAAGAAGAATTTAATCGCCGCTCTGGTGTAGTACTCCCCAGAACCGTCGGGTGGCGGTAAGTACCTAAACGTTGGTTTGCGCGCCGCTAATAAACTCAGAGAAGAAGAAGCAGCCCCTCAGTCTGCTAGCAAACAACAGAGAAGTGAAGTAAAAAAGCATCTCCGATGGAGGCGGCGTCCCTAAAACTCGCTTAGACCTTCGTGTGATGATTTGTTTTCCGCTATTTGTTCGGTTAATCGTTAACTTTATGTGTAGCGGCGGTGGTCGTCGAGCTGCCTCGCTTTTATAAGCAGGGACCCTCCCTGAAGACAAGTTAATACTGTTAGCCGGGTTAGCTAAAGTTGAGGTTGGGCAGCTGGTTTCATCGATGAGGAAAGAAACCAGACCCGGGATTCAATGCTGTGAGGAGGCCTGACGAGCTTGTCTGGAGTTACCTAGCTGACCACCTGTGTTAGAGAGAGGGCTGCAGAATGACAGGTGAGGGGCACGGCCTCACTACACCTCACTTTATTACATCATCACCTCCTGTCAGTATTAATTATATGTGTTAAATCTTCTCCCTCCAGAAGATGCTGTCCTGCTGAAAGTACCTGTCATCCGGCAACTGTACCACTGGGACTGTGGGCTAGCCTGCTCCAGGATGGTGCTAAAGTAAGTACCTGTGGTCAAGTGGGTAGAGTCGTCGTCTTTAGGGGGTCGAGGGTTTGATCCCCAGCTCCTGCAGCAACATGTCCGATGTGTGCTTAGGCAAGACACTTAACCCCAAGTTGCTCCTTCTGCTTTGTCGGCGGAGTATGAATGTGATTAGTTACTACACAGCAGCCTCTACCATCAGTGTGTGAATGGATGAGTTAATACTGATGGACTCTTTACTCAGCAGCCTCTACCATCAGTGTGTGAATGTGTGTGAATGGATGAGTTAATACTGATGGACTCTTTACACAGCAGCCTCTACCATCAGTGTGTCAATGTGTATGAATGGATGAGTTAATACTGATGGACTCTTTACACAGCAGCCTCTACCATCAGTGTGTCAATGTGTATGAATGGATGAGTTAATACTGATGGACTCTTTACACAGCAGCCTCTACCATCAGTGTGTGAATGTGTATGAATGGATGAGTTAATACTGATGGACTCTTTACACAGCAGCCTCTACCATCAGTGTGTCAATGTGTATGAATGGATGAGTTAATACTGATGGACTCTTTACTCAGCAGCCTCTACCATCAGTGTGTAAAAGCGCTTTGAGTCGTCAGAAGACTAGAAAAGAAATATACAAGCTCAAGTCCATTCACCATTTACCTCTATGCTAATAATACCAGTACAACTCAGGTGTGACTGAACTGCTTGTTACGTGTAGTGTAACAGAAATCTATGAGTTAAAGGTCACATATTCCCCTCCTCTTCAGTTTAAATCCACTCTGATCCTTTATTTGATCATGCGTTATTGTAACAGCTTAAATTGTGGAGTATACCTTTAAGACATACTGTGTTAAGTTACTATAGGGGAGCGACATCACTAAATATGCGGTTATCCTTTAAGCCAGTTTGAGTGATGATTCAGCCATGGACGAATGCCTGTAACTGAGGTTCTTCTTTCTTTCTTTTTTTTTCATTGCCGTGGTAACAGCGAGCTCTACCAATCAGAGAAGCAGCTGTTACACTCTATGAGAGTGGGTAGTGTAGTTCTTTTCCCCGATATCGTGCGTAAACCATCTTGTTCTTAAAATGAGGTCGATATCAGACAGGAGCGTAAACCATCGTTTCACACTCAGGTAGCTCGTGTTCAGTCTACCTGTGATGGTTATGATATCATAGCTAATAATCAAATCCGCTATGGAGGAAAAGAACGGGATTTTTACTTCCAGAACTAAACTGTTAAACCCTATTGTTTACGGTGAGAAGGCAGAACAAACACCTAGCTGTGGGAGTGTCAACCACCTGGAGGAGGGGCTTCTGCCCTTCATGATGTCATGAAGGGAAAATCTCCAAACGGCCTGTTTGAGCACACATTTTCTGAAAAGTGGAGCAGGCTAAAGACAGAGAGGATGGACTTTTCTCATCATTTGTAGACAGACTAGAGACACATGTTAGAGTTAGAGGAACATGGTGAAGAGGATTTTAAATATGTGACCTTTAAGGAATCCAAACATCCATTGTTGCAGGTACCTTCATCCTGTTGATGACGAGGAGTTTCAGAGAGCATGCTGGGATCTGAAGCTGACAGAGAGTGTTTGGACTATTGACCTTGCCTACCTCATGTGCCACCTCGGGATCAAACACTGCTTCTATACCCAGACTCTGGGCGTTGATAAGGGCTTCAGGAATCAGGTACGTGTGTTTACTGATCCGCACAGTCCTAATGAGACTTATATAATACTCTGTGTGTGTGTGACGGTATCTCCTTTGTGTTTGGGGATGATTTGCAGTCCTTCTACAAGAAACATTTTGATACAGAAGAAGACCGAGTCAACGAGCTCTTCATCAAAGCAGAGAGCAAAGGTGTGGTTGTTAAGAAATGGTACGTGTCCCTTTTATTAGTATTCTTTTTGGACAAAGAGGAAGCTTCAGTCCTAACACCTGATGTGTCCTCTCAGCTCTGTGACAGTTCAGGAAATCCAGTCTCATCTGGATCAGGGCCATGTTGCCATAGTGCTGGTCAACGCCGTTGTCTTGACATGTGAACTGTGCTCCTCGCCTGTCAAATACTGCTGCTTCCTGCCCGTGGGCCAGAAGTGTTTCTGCAGGAAGCCGGAGTACCAGGGTCACTTTGTGGTGGTGTGCGGCTTCAACAGGACCTCCGGCTCCATCTTCTACAACAACCCCGCCTACTCTGACCGTGAGTACTCACACAAACACATTGTTGGAAAGAGATGCAGTATGATTTGGCCAGAGGACAAAAAAACTGTTGTTCTCAAAACGGTCATTAAAGATTTAAGTCGCACTCTGCAATCCGTACCATGCCCGAGCACCTTTGAGCTTCAAAGTCCAGTTTGTTAGACGAGTGTGAGTGCTGCGTCCGTACACTTCCTCTGCCCTGGTACACTTTGAAGAGGTGTGCTTCAGGACGTTACAGTTCATGCACGAGCACAAGAACTGGTACACAGCGTGGACAGCCTTCATACAGGAGAGTGTTCTGAATCTGACTAACATGACTCAAAATAAGACACACAGTCAGTAAAGTAGCAGACGCGGACTTGACAGTGCGTCCCTTTTATTTTATTTTATTTTATTTTTAATCTGCCTTTCTTGTAAACTAAACACGCTTCATGACCACTTAAAGTCAGGCATGTGTTGTATTACGATCTGATACACCAGAGGTAACCGTGCTCAGACCCAGTTGGTCCTGGAGCAGTGTGAGTGCAGACCGGTGGGGCAATCATGCTTAATTCTGAAATTGACCGGTCGCTCTGTGCGTTTCCGGCTCAATCTATTCTTTTCAGCTTGACGTGTGCTTGCAGTGAGCTCCATTGTAAATAGACCCGCAGGGTATTTGAAACGGAGCAGAGTGTAGTGGGGTAGCAGAACAATGGAGCCTGATTTAGGTGAGAAGTAAAGTAAACAACAATCAAACAATATATTTGACTTGATTATAGATGTTGAGATGTATTTAACGTGTGTGCGTGTGTGTGCGCGTGTGCGTGTGTGATTCAGGCGTGTGCTGCACCAGCGTCAGTAACTTTGAGGAGGCTCGTCGGAGCTATGGGACGGACGAGGATATCCTGTTTGTCTTCAAGGAGAGTTGATTAAAAAGGGAGGCTGGACTCGGATGTCATAATCTCCATGTGATGATGATGCTGCTGCCGGTCCGTGGTTGGACCAGCGGCCCCCCTCCTGTCAGTAGACGCCCGGACCCATCGTCCTCTCTGGTGCTAATAAGCCCCACCAGCGCTCACATGAGAGCCCCCCCCCCCCCCCCCCCCCGCTGCAGCATCACCGCGCTCATTCCCTCTTAAACACTCAACTTCTTAATCCATGAAGGATCAACGTCTCTGAGGTCTGAATCATGTTCTGGTCTCTTTTAAGACGGACCGAGAGTCCACATGACTTTTTTAGTGTGGCTCATTTTAATGCCTGTGGTTGTGCATATGTTGAAATCTCTGACTGTGGATGAAATGTGGGAATCATGACGACATGAGGTAATGATGACAGTGAGATGATAAAATCAGGAGATGAAAACATGAAGATTCACTTTGTTCCTTGTTCTGAGTGTCCAGAGGCTCAGCTGCCGTTTTAAAGAACGTCCTCGTTACTCACCGTTCTGCCACTTGTTATTCTGATGATTCTAGCAACAGGGAAGACAGGAAGTAGATGTGTTTTCAGAGTCTCAGGTAATTAACGCCCTTAAGTGTGACATGCTCATGAAATGACAAAAACTAGTTCAATGCAATACTCTGCAGGCCGTCGACGGATCAACTCGTATATCTGCAGAAGAAACATGAACTTGTTTACTCAGCCGGGGGGACAAAAGGGGTCCAGCTCAACATCTTGTGCTTTGTTGTCGTGGCAACATGCTGGATAGGTGGATGCAATGATTGCTTGTTTTGATCACACTGCTTCTCAGTTTGGAGCGGAGCGGGTGAATTCTTCATCGTCTCCTCAGTTTTGTGTTTTTTAATTTTGCTATTACGTATTTGTTTTTTGCACTACATTTTACAAAACAGACAGACATTGTATGTTATTTAAAACGTCACAGTGAAATAACTTTGAATAAATAAAGTGATTTCTGACTGCTTGTGATTTTTGGAGGAGGGAACATAAAATATCTTATTTTCTTTTAAACAGTTTATCACAGGTTCTGATTAAAGAAACATTTAGCTCCAGTCATGTTTTCTGATACCTGAGTCTTCATTGATGCTGTTTTACCCTTCACCTCATTACACAACACTAACCCCTAAATTCCACAAGTTGAGTCTTTGCTTCATTAAGAAAGCAGAGCTGAAATGTTTTTCATTGTTTGTGCTTCCACTGCACTGCGCTGCGTCTCAGCTCCGTCATTCCCGAGTTCTCTGCTGCAGATATACAGCTTCAATTTATCACACAGAAGATCGAGCGGGACAGGAAGTCAGTCAGCGAAACATCGAAACATCTGTTTATTTTCAGAATAAAACACGCAGTTTGACGATTCAGAACAACGACCATGTGTGTTTGTTTATGTGTTCATAAGGTTTTTAAACCACATACATCGTATTTTCTCGCCCTGTCACGGGTGTAGAATCTATTATCACCACGCTCTGAGAACGCAGTCTGTGGATGTTGACGGACGAGGGTGAACAGAGCGGACACGCAACGCACATATCAGTTGGAAGTTCTCTGTAAAGCAGAGATTTAGGGAATTAAAGGAGCGGCATGTAACTCTGACACCTAGTAGTTACAGTGGGTACTGCAGTCTAAATTCTAAACATTGTAGAGAGCTGTCCCCCCCCCTCCTCTCTAGAGTCGATGCTCACACAGGTTGCCATGTGGTGGACACTGAAGCTAATATGTTAGCCACCATAATAGACACATCTAAACTAAGAGGATGTATGATTTAATGGTCCAATCAGTGAGATGTGTAGTGAGTGAAATGATAAAGGTACCTTACTATATGATCAGACATTAAGGAAACATGCTATGTTGAAGTGCTGGCTTCTCTGACAACAATGCAGCAGCCAGTATGTCCTCCTTCTAACTTTAGATTCTGGTCCTGAATGCTCTGGATTTTAGACTGCAGTACCTATTTTAAACACTAGTCAGTTAAATATTGCTCCTTTAAATGTGCAGATGTCATTTTGACACCTCAGAGGTAACATCTCTCTGCAGCAGCCCTGTCTGGTCTGATTTGAGCTGCAGCTTTTAGTGGCTTACGTCTGTACCATTAAGATGTTCATTCCATCACAAGTGGATTTTTGGGATTCCACTTGTGCTGCTGCTCTTATACAGTTCTACTAGCATTAGGGCTCACTGTTACTAGAAGCTGCAGAAGCCACTGTTGACTCCACAGAAGTTACAAAACCCAGACTCACTTCAGAACTCCGTAAAGAGAAATCAAAGGTGAGATAGGTACCCACATTTTAACAGTAGTGCCCTTATTTGATTTGATGCAATAAACTGAAAGTGAACCAATCCCATTATCACATTTTATTTGACTATAGAGAAATATCATCTACTCCTTCACTATCTTGGGGTTGAAGTCAGGTCTGACTGCCTTGGTGAGTTCCTCTGCATACTCAGCATATCGCCCAGTCATCTGCAAACAAAGAGAACAGGTTCTTAGCAGTCTAGGAGGACAGACTCATTACCATCAAGGTTCTAACAACCTTTGTAGCTTTAGCAAGTTAGCTCCACTTATGACCACCTGACCAGTGTCTGACTAAAACCGAGTACAGTGGGACGCACAGTGAGGGAGAGTCGTTCTCACCTTGAAGCTCCATCTGTCACTGATTTGTCTGTTCAGGTTGAGATCCATCTCTACCACCAGTAGTCCATCCCTGGTTCTGGAGAGTCCAGGGGTGCGGCTGCCGTCAGGAGCAGCCACGTAGCTGGACCCATAGAAGTGTCCGAAGTCATGATGAGCTGCAAGAGTCAGGAGATCCGTCTGAAACAGGCGCTGAACAAAATGTACTCTGCCAGAGACGCCCACTGAAGCCCTGTTTCCACCCAACAGTCCGGTTTGGTTCAGTACAGTTTAGTGAGGTTAACCCTGATCCTGCCTGGAGGTACCTTTAGTTGCTAAGGGGGGTGCAAACCAGATGACCAGCTAAGTTATGGCGTTACATCACAGTGCAGCCCACCAAGGATGGAAACAAAACAACAAACACAGGGAAACAATGGACGTCCACCATTTTGTGTTTTTTTCTTGTCATGATGATATTTATCCCAATGTGAGAGAAAGAAAACTCTCTTTAAATCTCTTTAAACATGATCAGTTTTGTGTTCTTCCTTTATTATCGCTGACATACAGGAAGTGCTTTCGACCAATCAGTGGACTGCAGTGTGTCTAGCTCCACCCTTTAGGCTAGGATCAGTACGCATGGCACCTGAACAGAAGGGTAACAAAACATTAGGGCTGTCATTTTTTAAATCGAAGTTCAAGCATTCATTCAAACCTGGGGGAGAAAGTTCACATTCAAAATGTGATAAGCCGTTTGAATTAAAAATATAAAGTCTATCAGGGTCGCAGGTCGTCTGAAGTACGGTCTGAACGGTCGTTCTCGTCAGCAGGGAGCTTTGTAACTAAAAACAGAGCTGCCCTCGATCCCAATCAAGTTGACAGATTTCTGGTGAGAATATTAAAAAATAAATTCAGTCCTTTTGAATTGTCGACGGGCTGTTTGGTTTTAGGGTCATTATTGTAACAAAGTTGGACGGCTGTGGCTCATTTGGTAGAGCTGGTTGTCTCTGAATCCACAGCCACATGTCCGATGTGTCCTTAGGAAAGACACTTCCCGCTGCTTCATCGCCAGAGTGTGAATAATTATGAATGGATTTTGTGAATTCAATCAAATGTGTTCCAACATGTCATACTCCACATAAGTTATTTTTTAATTGACAGCACTAGTACGGGTTGGTTATTTTGGTACCATTCCAAACTTTTGACAGTGGAAATTCCAATTAATGTCTATAGTACTGGACTGGACTGAACTGGACTGAACCGGATTGCTTGGTGGAAACAGGGCTATAACTGTTAGTGGGACCAACAATGACTGAGAGATGGTTTACTATGGCAGATTTAGACTGTGCTACACAAATCAAACAAATCTCTTACCCTTTTTTCCGTCACCAGATGTGAATTCACTTTTGAAATGTTCCTGTGTGAAAAACAAGAGAGCACATGACGGTGAGGCTTCAGCAGCTGAGTCAGACGAGGAGCATGTATTAAAGAAAACACGGTGAAGTGAATTTCAGATTTTGTGTGACCTTTAAACTAGATTTTAAAGAAATATGTTTAAAATGTGAGGATTGCATTGCTGGACTTACCGTTCCAACACGGTTGATTGCACAGGTGTAACAGTGGTTAGCTATGGCTGCGTTCCTGGCTTCTATTGGCCACATGGGCTCACTGCAGAGAAGACAAGAGAGTGCGTAAATAACAAGAGAAACAAGTCGACGAGCTCTGAAACTACAGCTGCTATAATTACTGCACCAGTTGGCTGTACGGCATCAGTTTGGAACTGATTAGTGTAAATCTTAAGGCCCTGACACACCAAGCAGACGGAAAAGAAGTGGAGGCGATGAAGGCCGCCTCACGTGGGGCCAACGGGTAGCGCGCAGACACACTGGAAAAACTATGGCGACGACCGCTCACCAACGGTCCAACTAGGACCAACACATGACATCAGCCTTGCGTATCTGCTGCGGTTTGGAGCGTTTATTGCGCATGTCCTCCGAAATTAACACTACACATCCGGGAGATGAAACATCACGGCTGTGAGCTGTCACGGTGATGAGACGAAATGTGACATCAACGGAGACACCACAGAGCCGCTACAAAGATTGGAGGAAGGTTTTGAAGAAAAGTTAACAGATCAAGTCCACAACTACCCGCACTATGATGTGTCATGGCCGTTGCATAGCAACAAACATGCGTTCCAAAACAGCTGGAGACAGATCATCTCTACTTCTGATTCATGTGGTGCTCCCTCTAGAGGAATCCTCTAGTAACACGCGTTGTACAAAGGGAAGGATGTGAACATTTATGCAATTTTCAAAAGCAAAAATATCTTGAAACAGGAGGGGAGTAGTCTGGGGATAACTTGGAGCCAAGCAGCTAGCTTCTTTTTAGAGACAGGACAGTGGATAGAGTCAGACATCAGGAAGAGAAAGAGAGAGAGAGAGAGAGGGAGAACGACCAAGCCGTCTGCTTGTAGGATTTCAGTCTCTAACCACTAGACCATGGGCGCCATAAGGAGCATCTTTTAATTCATACTTCAGCCAATCCCTTCACACTTTGACACAGTAGTCTCTAACCTCAGAGCTCCAACAGTGGCTGAAGGGTTGAAGATGACCTCGGCTCCGTTCATACTGTACATAAACCAGTTGAGGGGGTGATGGCGCCCGTAACAGATATTCACGGCTATCTTCCCGAACTGAGTCTGGAACACTGAGTGGCCGGAGTCGCCCTCCATGTAATATGTCGACTGTGCAGAAAAAGAAAAGAAGAGAGGGTACTTAAAGTCATGCAGGTTTGCACAATCCCAGCGTTCTGTCTAAATCGCCTCACCTCATTGAAGTCTCCGATCCTGGGAATATGGTTCTTCCTGCTCTTTCCCAGCACATTCCCTGAGTTGGAGATGACCACCGCTGTGTTCCACAGAGTGCCGTGCAGCTCATCTCGCTCCAGAATTGGAGAAACCACGACCATGTTGTATTTCTTGGCGAGCTGATGACAGAATGACAGCGTTACAAGGATTGTGTTCCTTAACCCTCAGGCATCAGTTTAATGTACGACCCTCTTAAGTCACTAAGGACAAAAATGTCCATGCCAAAAAACTGATATAAAAATAGAACAGATTGATATTTTTTTCTACTTTTTTCTGCATACATCTCTTAAACAACTTCAGCCCTGCTCAAAACTACCAAACATTCAATCATTTTGAGGAATTTAACCCTTTAAATGCCCTTTAAATAAGTTTGATTACTTGATGTCATTGTTGTTATTTAAGAAAGAAAACACAAAAATGAGTTATTTTCCATAAAACAAATATTTGGTGGCTAGGGGATTTTTTTTTTAAATCACTCTTGGATATGTCAAAGATTATCCAAAATATTGACTTTGATGCATTGTTAGTTTTTGTGTAGCATCTGATTTAAAATGTAGTTCCCTGTTTGGACATCGGAGGGCAAAAATGTCCAATTTACAAAAAACTGATATAAAAATAGAACAGATTCAGATTTCTTTCTACTTTCTTTTTCATAAATCTCTTAAACAACTTCAGCCCTGCTCAAAACAATCAAATATTGAGTAATTATCAGGAATTTAACCCTTTAAATGCCAGTTTGATTACATGATTCTGGCATTTAAAGGGTGGACAATAATGTCCATAGTGACACATGAGGGTTAAGCAGAGCATGTCATCACACAGATCTCTGCAGCGTCAATCACCTCTTGGCAGAAGCGAGTCGTGCTTCCTTCATCCGCAGACTCTGCAAACTCTGTCCACGGCTCTTTCTCCCGAGTGCAGAAAGCAAAGGGCATGGCTGAGGACGACACAGAGAACGTCACGCTCTCTTACAACAAGTGGATAATATTCAGGCGACGGTGAATCAGAACTCACTCCAGGTCTCCTGGAAGCAGACGATGTTCACACCGCACATGGCTGCCACCTCCACCATTTCACCAATACGACTGTGCATGGCAGTGATCTGTGGAGTGAAGTCAGAGGAGCTGTTCAAATCACTTTTAACCAGCAAGGCCCCATGTAGTCCAATACTCAAAGACTGGTTTGTGGACATTCCCATTCAAGCTGAGGCTGTTTTCTCTAAATATTTCATGGCTCACACATTCAACTATCCGTCGACGATCGGCAAAATCTGACAAATCAGGTTCATCTATTTAAACCTTCAGCAAGGGACAGGCCTCATTTGTACAGTTCAATATTTATTCATGATTCAACTTTAACACATCTGTATCATGTCGTCAACAGGTGCACAGCCTGTTTGGTAAGTGATGGTCTGAGTCCTGACCTGGTCCAGTATGGGGGCGTCAGTGGGCAGGACTATCTGGTGCTGGATGAGTCCCACACGGACCCTTCTGGGCGGCCTCAGTTGTTCTTGTGCAGCTTCAAACCTGCAACCTTTCAGCTCAAAGCTGTGCTCCGAAGCAGCGTCCACAGCACCTGCCGGGAGGTCCAGCTTCCTGTGACAGAGAAGATTCTTTACACCACTGAACGCTAAAGGACGAGATACATTAAACACTTTGACCTTTATCTTTCAGGACTCTAAATGAATGATGACAGTGAGCCGTTACCCTATTGTTTTCTTCTCCAAAGACGGTTTTCATTGTCATATAAGTTAGTAAACTGAATATGCAGACCTTTTGAAAGATAAACTGTAAATATGAATGTTTGAAGCCTGAGTGACGTCACCCGTCTGTTCCTGCAGGGGGCGCTGGAGTCCCATCGATGGCGGTCTCCATGCTGGAAATGCTGTCTCAGTCTAACTTTCAGTCAACCTAACGACAGGCTGAGAGCTGGAGCTGAGGCAGGTTTTAAACCTCCTGACAAACCGTTACACCGCGCCCACCTGTCAATCATGTCAGCTACACGCCTTATTGTGAATAACTCTTATCCTTCATCAAATCAAAACTGATGAGTCATCAAAACATTCACCCCCCCGTACAGTGTGTGTCCATCGAGACATGAGCTAATCACACCTATTTGGTTTTTTGAACCAGGCTGTAAACATGTTAATCTCTGCTGTAAAAACAGGCTTTTTAGAATGGGTGTGTATGTGACTTCCTGTGCTTCTGCAGCCAGCTTCTAGTGGACACTCAAGGAACTGCAGGATTTTACACTTCAGCATCGGCTTCAGTTTTCATGGGGATGTTAGCTATAGGCTTTAGTTATTTACTGGTTATTTACATTTTAATGACTAAAACAAGAAGCAAGAAAATATCCTGCAGAAGTGTGAGTTGTAGCTCTTGTTTTTACATGTTAACAAATAATCACAATATAATTTTAATCTGAGTTTAATAACAGATACAAGTTTGGACTAATACCCATCTCTATACTAGTAGGCTATATGTGACATATGTGCACATTTGAAGCTGTTTTTTTAAATACACAGTTGGTTCAGGTTAAAGGTTGTGTGCTCTACTGGAGCTCTGAAAGAGCTGGCCGAAGTCCGTCCTTCAGAACAATCATTTACCAGGACTTATTTTTAAAGAAAGAGCATGCATAGTTAAAGGTTAAAAACACTTTAATAACAACAACTTACTGTGTCTCCTTCCCGAATAAAATGCGCTTCACTTCCCTGAGCTCGGCTTCTGGAAGATGACTCTCCAGAGACTTCTCCAGAGACTCGAACTCGGACATTTCTGCGGATTCTTCGCGACGGAACAGTTCTGTGTGACTTCACTGTATTTATATCAGGACACACTCGTTATATAACCCTGTGTGTGTGTGTTTTCAAGAAGCCTTTCACAATCCAGGACTTTGGGAAGAAGAAGAGCAGACTTCTTGTATCCAGAGGCAGCTCAGGGGGCGTTTGTGTCATTCATTAACCCTGTGTGCAGCAAGCCTCACAACCTGCGACCCAAAGTGTTACCAAGTGTGTGAGCATGTGTGTGAGCATGTGTGTGAGCATGTGTGTGAGCATGTGTGTAATGTCTGTTACTGTAAACTCCGAAAAAAAACAAGGAAGGCGTCCACACACACCAGCTGTTTATCCTTCTCATGTTACATTTCCGGTTTCTTTTGACTGCTGACAACTTTTGCAGGTTTAAATGTTGTCACAGGGATGTAGACTTAATTGATAGGCTAATATTTTAGCGTTCTCATAGAATAAAGCTAAGATAAGATATCCAGTTTTCATGAGCAGGGGCGTATCTAAGGGGTGGCCATGCCCGACAACCCCCAAAATTTGATTGGCCACCCCAGCTTGAAAATGCACATGTTGCCACTCTGTTGTGTTATTTTTACAAGTCAATAAATTTATATGCAGAAATGTCACATATTAGTAAAATGATCCATGACATCACCTCTTTAATAATAAAACACATTTATTCTGTTTCCTCGAAAGTCTCAACCATCTCGATAATACTCGATGTCCACAGCTCTGTTAGGAGAGGGGACTACATAGAAAGATAGAGTGGATTGAACAGGTCATGTTTGTACAGATAAAGGTTTTACTTTCCTTTTTGATAAATCTTATAGTTAGTGCTGGTGTAGACCAGCTCTTAGTTATGCTGCTATAGGCTTAGACTACCAGGGAAACTGGCACCTTGAGCTCCTCTCTCTCTCTCTCTCTCTCTCTGTGCATACACAGTACATCATATTACTGCATGTATTTATCTGTAAATCTCAGTCACTAACCACCTACTTTCCTGAGAGCTCTTGAGCTCTCTTAGGCTCCTCAAGATCGTTGGTTGACGGCCTGCCAGAACAACCCCCACCCCCCACCACCCCCACCCCCCTCCCCACCGGATTGTTGATGGACGGTCTGCCTCCCCCACCCCCTTGCTCCCTATCCCTCTTCCTGCATCTTATCCCATCTCTCCCCCTTTCCCTTTCCAACCTCGGTGCAGTCTAGGCCTGTGAAGGCTGTTTTATCATGAGCCGGGGATCCGGCCGAAGATTTCTGCCTTTTAATAAGGCAGTTTTTTCTTACCACTGTAACTTTTGCTGCTTTGGTAAAGTGCTCATGATGGATAGGTAATTGTATTATAGCAATAAGTAAGGTCTTTTACCTGCTTTTTGTAACATAGTAATAAGTGAGGTCTTTTACCTGCTCTTTTGTAATGTTAACAGACAAAGAGTGAGGTATTTTACCTGCTTTTTGTAAAGTGTCTTGAGATAACACTTGTTATGAGTTGACGCTATACAAAATAAATTGAATTGAATTGAATTGAGTAGTTGTCCACAGGAATCAGACCTCCATCATCACAAACATCGAAACTTGGTCGTCTTGTGGCTCTTGTTGTTTGCAGTGATGACTTTGCTCCTGGGTCGACTTCCCTTCACCTTCCTGTCCGGCTCCTTGTCGGGGTTTGAAAGTTTCCTCAGCAGCTCTGCAGAGTTAGCATTAAAGAGATAAGAGGAGAGTTGTGAAGATGTGTTTGACCAGCAGGGGGCGCCAGAGGGCCGCGCTAAGTCTGCAACACTTTACAAGTTTCAGTCTCTGTAGTCATGCTTTGTTTCCTGTTTATTATTTTTACTGGTGATGATAGCATGACAAGAGAAAACATGACATCAGAGAGAAACAAACGATGAAGGTGACGAGCAGATCTATATTTGGAGAAGTCATGTAAGCTGGAAAGGAAGTGTGATTCACTGAGGCTGAAGAAATGTAACGTCTTCTTTAATCAGAAATGTACCCACATGGAAAGGGATCTGCAGGTTGTTCCTTCTAACAGAATATAATAAGATTATAAATATTTAGCTTTGATTATAAATATTTTCAATCTTAGCTAAATATTTAGAATCAGAACATGTATTTTTAACATTTAGATATAATATTTAACATTTATATTTGCCAATGAAATGATCTTACATTTATATTCACAAAAATAAATACGACAAACATTCACAAATATTTCTCTAAATGTGAAGAAAAAGTGACTTTTAAAAATTCCCTCCAAATTTTTAGAGCTGTTTTAGAGCTTAATGTGGAGAAAAGTTGCTGTTATTTGTAGTGTGCGCAACTTTACGACCGGCGCCCCTTACGCTGGGTCTCTCCTCATGGTACTCTGGGAGTCTCTGGTTGTTTTTTAAATAAAGTTGTACAACTCAAATAGTTAACAAGCAGAGATGTGATGGCAAGCGGAGGAAGCAAAAATGACGGAAAAAAAAGTGCGGTAGATAGGATACGTCGAGCAGCTCAGCAGAAAGTGAAGTCGAGGGCAGTGAATGCAACACAAGCGCAAGAGGCTCTGTTAGCAGAGCGAGTGGCGCTACAACACCTGTTAGCAAAACAGTCTGAAAATATGACTCCACTCAAATCCAGTTTGTATTCTTTCAGAGTAGCACAGGGAATGAGTCCAGGCCGCAGTGCGTGATGTGTGGTCGATATTAAATAATGTGCATATCAGGAATAAAATGGCCGCTTGCGTAAACTGTATTCGTAGGTAACTAGCTCGACGCTGTGACTGTATTTCAATGTTGGTCATGATGGTGGAATGTGGAGAGCTGAATATTTCATGTGGTAGTCCTCATATTGAAAAGTTTAAGAACAGTAGCATCCTTCAGGTGGACGGGTTGTTACCTGTTAACTCAGGATGACTCTGACTGAAGTCGTTGAGGAGGGACTTGTATTTCTGACCTCCTGAACCAGGATCTCCTAAAGAGGAGAACATGAGCTTTGAGAATCATAATAATAATAATAATAATAATAAAACATTTAATTAAAGACGCTTTACAGACAACAACAACACAAAGAAGAAACGATGTCAGAGAAGGAGAGCAGAGTGTGTGTTAGTGGTTGAAGGTGATGAAGAAGAGGAGAGTTTTTAGGGATTTCTTGAAGGTGGAGAGTGAGGGGGGGGTTTGCATAAGCAGACCTGAGAGTGCCAGTGGAGGAGCTCAGACAGGTGGGGGGGAGGAGCCAGGTTATGGAGGGTTTTACATGTGAGGATGAGGAGTTTGAAGTAGATATGCTGGGGGATGGGGAGCTAGTGAACGTCCCCCCCAGTGATGTGGTCACGGGTGCGGTGGTGTGTGAGAAGAGCAGCAGAGTTCTGGATGAATTGTAGTTTCTTGAGTGTTTTGGATGATGAACCGTAGATCAGACTGTCGCAGTAGTCTATTAATAATAACTTTATTTATAGCCTTTGAAAAAGAGATGTTTACAAAGTGCTTAGAGAAACAAAGAAAAGGCAGGAAGTCAGGACGATAACAGAATCAACAGGACAAACAGAGAGAGGTGCATAAAAATAATGTAAATGTAAATAAAAGGAATAAGAGAGAAACGACCGGAAGGTCTCCTAAAGACACCTGAAGACGACATCACAGGAAATAAAAAACTAAATGAAGATAAAAAAGAGTGAATGAAAGAAAGCAGCAGAAGGCAGAAGAGTTCAACATCAGAAGAAGGATTAAAGAAGATTAAGAGCAATCCAGTGAATAAATGAAAGGATTGAAAAGGTGACATCACGCTAAAGCGAGTCAATAAATGTGAGTTTTAAAAAAGTGAATCTGATCAGACATGTCGTGGAGCGAGTCAATTGAAAACAGCTCGAGCTCCTTTAGATTTGAACCTCAACTTTGGAACAAACAGAAAGGCAATGCCTGAGGATCTGAGGTCACAGGATGGTTGATAGGGGATAGGAGCGCCGCTGTCGTAGTGATTGGTGCAGGATCCCATGTACAGAGGCTCTGCTCCTCCAAGAGGGCGGCCCATGGTTAAAACCTGCATGTCACGTCCCTCTCTCTCTCTCTCTCTCTCTCCCTATCTCTCTCTCTCTCTCTCTCTCAATTCTACATGTGACAGGGAGCGAGTTGAGGAGAGCGAGGATACAGGAGTGATGTCATCTGTTAAAACCAGTAAGAATAAACATGACAATATATCTAAAATATACTTAAAGGTCACATATCCTCCTCCTCTTCAACCTGTTTAAATAAGTGTCAGAGCAGGTATTTAAAGATCACATATTAGTCTCAGAGCTCCTCAAAACATGTGTGTGAAGTTTCTAGTGCTAAATCCACTCTGATCCTGTATTTGATCATGTCTATAAACCCCTCTATTTCAGCCCTGCTCAGAACAGACTGTTTCTGTGTCTGTACCTTTAAATATGTAAATGAGCTGTGTCTGACCACGCCCCCTGTCTGGAAGGGCTCGGGTGTCTCGGTCTTTCTCGCTCCATGCTCTATTGTTTACAGTGAGAAGGCAGACTCAGAGGGCAGAACAAACACCTAGCTGTGGGAGTGTCACCCACCTGGGGGAGGGGCTACTGCCCTTTGTGATGTCATGAAGGGAAAATCTCCAAACAGCCTGTTTGAGCACACATTTTCTGAAAAGTGGAGCAGGCAGAAGACGGAGAGGATGGACTTTTCTCATCATTGGGGGGTTTGTAGATGGACTAGAGACACATATTAGAGTTAGAGGAACATGGCAATGACTTATTTTGCCTCAAGTTGTTAATAATCTGTAGTTTATGATTAACTTTCTCCGGTCATATTTCTCGACTGTGAATCAAACCGTTCAGGATCGTTCACCTGATGAGCTTCAGAAATCTTGATATACTCACGGCAGAATCGCAGGAGGACATAGAATTCTCTCTCGACCAGCACACTGCTGGCCCGGGACAAACTGTGCTGCTTCTCTTCCAGGTTCATCACTTTACCGCTGCTGTCCAGTAAATCCACAATCTCTGCAGGAAGAAACTTAATGTGAGACGTCTGTCAGCAATAGTGTCATCACATGACGCCTCTTCCAGTTATACATGTGACATAATAAAAAAAAAAAACCTTATTTACAGACATTTTCATGTGAACCTACAGTAGTCTATATGACGCAGAGATGCAATATATCACATTTGTCACAGAGAAAACGGTACCAGTTGCAGACTAATTGAAATATATAACTAAAGCAAAAAAGGCCAAAAGCCAAAAGCCGGACTTCTTTAGAGTCAAACAGAAAATTCCAGGAGACGTGAAAACGAAATCACAGAGAGTCAAAAGGAGAATAAACACGGGAACATAGAGAGGTCCACGTATGAACCGAGGCCTCGTCCACATTTAGGCAGGTATTTATTATTTATTTTATCATTTTTATGGCTGTCAGGCAGGTAAAAACTATTTTTAAAAAAGTCCTATTGCTGCCTCAACAAAAGATTTTTAGAATCTCAAAGGATTTAGAAAATGTGAGAGCGCCCACACATGACAACAAATCATGACAGATTTAAAAGTTTTGTTCTTATAGTGTGTGGAGAGAAACGAGACGACCAACTCAGCACGCCCCACATAACAGATTCATTCACTAACAATCAGAGTCTCCACTATCAAAATGTGTAATCTCCCATGGTCAAACACATGGACTTACAGGTGCATTGTGGTTTGTTTTAAAGGGGACATATTATCCCCCTTTTCCACCTTTTCAAACAATCCCCTGTGGTCTACATGAAACATCTGTGCTTTGGTCAAAATATAACATGAATCAGGCACCAGAGGAGGTTTGTGACCCTATATAAACCAGCTCTCCCAGGATTTCTGATCGTCAATTAATCAGGCGGCCCTGATCGTCTTCTGAGCAGATCTCGGAGGTTAAAATCCCTCTTCACACACCTCACACCTCAGGACCATCTGACTAGATAAACTTTAGAACCATCAGATGATCGGGCCTTTGCTGATCGTCATCATGAAGTATTTGATGATAAATACCTCTGAAGTCCAGGCTGCACCGTTCCTTTAAGTGATGGATGAAGTTGATCAGTTTACAGTTGAGATTGAACATTTCCATCTTGCTGTCTGAAGAGAAAAACACAACGTAACACAACACTTCAACATTTACAGAACAAATTACACTTTGCACTTCAATGATTTCATATATTTCATTTAAAGCAGGTCGGCGTACCAGCCGTGCAGCAGGATGTCATTAGGTCATTAGTAAATTAAATATATTTTGCTGTACACACATTTTGTTTGAATATAATTATAGACCCATCACATCCTGTGCTCAGTTTTCAATGAGAGTAGGAAACCCCCTTAAGTTGGCCCCATCTGGCAGCACTCACTCTTACTGCACAGTCAAGCATTATTGGTGTGCAAACCAAAGTTTGTGAATGAAAGGGTTTCATTGTTCTTTATATCAATGTTTTGAAAATGATGCTAAAATCTGTAAAATCTCTTAAAGTTCATGTTTCACAATTTTTTGTTGGTGTCAGGTTTTAATGGTATTGGTCTCGTCTCAGAATCAAAAGCATTTTTACTCGGTCTTACCAGTAGTGCTGTAGTAGCCTACTCAAAATTGGTCTTTTGAAGGTCCCGTCTCGAATTCAAAAGCGCTTTTGACCGTTTTTACTCAGTCTTTTGGCGGATTCCAGATTTTGAATCAAGACCAGTCAGGTTCACCACTCATTGGCTATTTTCACGTCATTACTGAGATTAGAAGGAAATGTGTCTTTCTTCAATTCATTTGTTTGTTCATTTGATTTTTATTGCTTGCTTAGGGCCGCAACCTTCCCGATGTTACGGTCTAAATTAGTGACACGCCCCCTGCACACAAGACGATTATTATTCAGTGATATTCATGGTCTTGGCCTTGACTCAGCCTAAATGTCTTGATCTTGTCTCAGTCTCAGATCACTCTGGTCTCGGGTATGTCTTGGTCTCGGTTAGTGTGGTCTTGACTACAACACTAGATAAAGGTGATGAATGCTGGTTGAAGGGGACCCCTGTGAATTCTAGGACCCCGACAGACTCTAGAATCGTCGCTGCTCTAAAGCAAAGTCACCATTAAGAACCATCACCAGTATATAATACAAAGTTTTCCAGTAGAGTAAAACTCCTCAAATCAACAGAGTCACTGGTTCAAATGTTGTCTTGTCTAAAAGCAGAGATGAATCTCGTTTATCAGAAACTGTACCTGCAAACAGGATGGTGACAAACATCTTCTGGTCCAGAGAAACTCCGCTGGTGCTGCGACGGGTCGTTGTTTAAAGTATCTGCTTATTCCTCAGAGCCCGGGGAGAGGGACTGGGCACCAAGTGCAATAAAAGAGGCGGTGAATTGTTTGTTGTGGTGTACACTTTGTGACAAAGACTAGGCGGTGGGAGGGGGGGGGGGGGGGAGGAGGCTGCATGGACAAAAACACATAAACACATTTTACACACATCTTCCTTTTGCATCATCAGCGTCTTCTTTTCAGGGCTGGAGGCTGTAAACGAGAGGACAAGGGACTGTTGTTGTTCGTATCCATGGAGCCTCTACACACACACATACACACACACAGACTGGCATTTTATAGATGCTCAGCAGTGATGTCAAGACTGACTGAGAAAGAAAGAGTGTATTTTTTACTTTTCTGGGGTTACCTCAGATTGAAACTAGGAAATGAAACAAAGTCTGTCTCTTACTTCAACAATAAGTTCAGTTTGCAGGATGAATGTTTAAAAACCCAGATTCCCCAAAAGTTGGGACATTGTATGAAAGTAAATACATTTACGTCCCGCTCTCTGGGCTGAAGAGGAGAGAGACTAGCCGGCTTGTTGTTAGCAGGTCACCAATAAGGGGGTGCATTGGTGCACACTGCATGGGGACCTGCACAATCAAGGGCGGCGGAGGTTCAGTTTGTAGAGTCGGTCGTCTCTCAACCGAAAGGTTGAGGGTTCGATCCCCAGCTCCTGCAGCCACATGTCTGGTGTGCCCTTGTTGTGAAATATGCTATATAAATAAACTTGCCTTGCCTTGGGCAAGACACTTAACCCCGAATTGCTACCGCCGCTTCATCGGCGGGGTATGAATGGATGTTAATACTGATGGACTCTTTACTCAGCAGCCTCTACCATCAGTGTGTGAATGTGTATGAATGGATGAGTTAATACTGATGGACTCTTTACACAGCAGCCTCTACCATCAGTGTGTGAATGTGTATGAATGGATGAGATAATACTGATGGACTCTTTACGCAGCAGCCTCTACCATCAGTGTATGAAGGATGAGTTAATACTGATGGACTCTTTACTCAGCAGCCTCTACCATCAGCATGTGAATGTGTATGAATGGATGAGTTAATACTGATGGACTCTTTACACAGCAGCCTCTACCATCAGTGTGTGAATGTGTATGAATGGATGAGATAATACTGATGGACTCTTTACGCAGCAGCCTCTACCATCAGTGTGTGAATGTGTATGAATGGATGAGATAATACTGATGGACTCTTTACGCAGCAGCCTCTACCATCAGTGTGTACTGATGGACTCTTTAATGGGGAACCATTTTATAGTCTTTAATGCTAAGCTAAGCTAACCAGCTACAGACCTCGGCTTTATATGGACTGCACAAACATGTGACTGATGTTTATCGTCTCATCTGACCAGCTAATTTCCCCAAAATGTAAGAAACTGTTTCCAGTTATACAAAGCTATGGTGCTTTTGCCATGACTAATACCTTGTAATTTTTCTCTTTGAAAGTTTGAATCATAACGTTGATAAGACCGAGCTGAATTATCTGGATGTTTCCACACAGGGCAGCAGACGAGCGTGAGGACTCAGGAGGTCTCTGTGGAGAAGCACTAAAGACCCCTGAGGGAACCTAAATAAAGAAGTGATCCGTTGGCCTGTAACCTGAACTCACGGGGGAATAAAGATAAAAGCTGTGAAAGTAAAGAAGTCCAAAGATAGTCCCACTGATGAACCACCTTTTCCCAGAATGAGCACACCATGCAGGGGCCGTATTAACAAAGCTTACTAAGGACAAAGAGTTGCTCCAGAATGACAAGATTCTTAGAAAAGTCTTGATAAGAACCCCCTCTTACAGCCAAGACCAGATTCTCTTTTGAATCTAACAATCTGCTGGTTGCGGTGATGTTTTAAACCTGCAACCTCGTCTCAAAGCTGACATGTGTAACAGGGTCAAATATGTTGGTGTATATTTCACTGTTTGTTTTTATAATTACTTAACAATTACCTGGCAATCATCTGTTATGTTTTATTTTGTAGTCCGCAGCCCCTTCTTCCTTTGTTCTCTTCTTCTTTGGTTATTATTACATATTTGTTTCCATTGTTTCCTCCTTCCATCCTTTAATTATTGTATTATTGTGTGTATATTTATGTTCTTCAGAATGTTTAATAGTCTTTTGTTAGCTGTTGGTATATTGATTTGATTGGAATATCCTGAATTTATTGTTATTTTATTTTCCATGGAGCCTAGCTTGCCGTGCACAGCAATTTAAGCTAGTTTACCGTGCACGCGCTTTAAGCTGACATACATAACGTACTTTTATTTAATCTGTGTAGGATCTGGAGTGGACTGAGAAGTCTGTGTTTCCCTTTTTGCCAGATTAAAAGAGACGAGTAAGAATCCTGGTGTCACAGCATCATTTCACCACAACACAACGCAGAAATCCACCGGTTACACATGCTCCGGACGCTTTGTGAATACGACCCCAGATCTGATATGAACATGACCCTGTGTGGATAAAGTCAATGGGAGCGCTGCAGCCGCTCATTACTGCAACTGAATCATGTCTGGAAACATGCTGTGACCACTGCCTGATGCAAGAACAGTAACAGCTGTTTGAAAAGGTCAGAGAATTTATTTAAAGCCTGTAACATGACAGAAGGTGATATCTGAACTAAACACAATTTCTTATTCCAACATTATAAAAAGAGTTTGAAAACAGACTTCATTCACAATCTGTCTTCAAACCCTCCATCAGTCAGAAGACGACATTTACACGAGTATAACTTAAACACACACACAGTCGAGACACAACGACTCAAGAGTACCTTAAAAAAAGTTTAATTTAAAAATGTCAAGAATGAAATGAGAGGGGAATCAGCCAAAAAGGGAAAAATGTCTGAAGTGTGATCTCTGGTGACGGCGCTCTTCTTGAGATGGTTACGGTCTGAAAACAGGGGAAATGTTTGTGCAATGCAGCTCGAGGAACGTTCCTCTCTCCAGGATCCATGGTAGTGATAAGAGGTGAAATCCAACATCGTACATGTCTCCTTACATCCCTGAAAGATGTTTGTGTTTTTAGCCACTGACACGCTTGTACAGTGCATCATTCAACGCCTCTCTAACCCTAAGGCTTTATGGTCATCCCTTCACACGATGTCATTTCAGCTTTCTGGATCATGCAGTCAGGGGCGTGTCTAAGGGTGGCCAGGGTTGGCATCAAGCTCAACAGTTTGGTTCTGGAAGTAAAAATCCTGTTAATTTCCTCCATAGTTGATTTGATTATAAGTCATGATGTCATAACCATCACAGGTAGACTGAACACGAGCTACCTGAGTTTGTAACGATGGTTTATGCTCCTGTAGAAGTCACAAGTTCATCTGATATCAACCTTGCTTTAAGAACTACAATATCCACAATCATAGAGTGTCACAGCGACGTCTCTGATTGGTGGAGCTCGCTGTTACCATGGCAATGTTTCCTGTATGCTAACGGATAGTTTCCCTAGCAGGTTAGCTGGTTAATTAGCTAACGGTAAATGTACTAACAACCTTGTTGTGCTGCAGTGAATGTAGTTTATATTTTCAACAACACAAACTGCAACATATTAAAACACTTGTATCAACAGTTTAAACATGATAACAACGACTAAAGTTACATCAAGAAGAGGGCTCATTCGCAATGCATTGTGGGAGTCGTAGTTCCTTGACTCTGGATGAGAACGATGTGCACAGTCTTGTACCTTTGCCTTCCTCTCCGTTTTTTCAAAGCCATTGAGGTTGTCATGGTTACAGGCTTCTCTCTATTGATATAAGGATTTTGTGAAAAATCAAGGGAGGATTGGAACGGAAAAAATTACTTCCAGAACCAGAGCCGCCGTCACTGTTGAACTTTACGCCCTCCTGCATGAACTTCATCATCATAGAGGAAGGAAGTGAAGGCATTTCGGGTTAGAATAAGTGTGTGACGTGATAAAAGCTGTGAGTCGCTCAGCTGCTCCTGGTCATCTGGGATGTTAAAAAGCATTACACCATCTTTTGGTCCATGAGCAGTACAACAACCTTCCAAATGAAAAGATTCAGTTATGTGGTCTCTTATCCGTTTAGAGTGTTTCCATTGTCATTGCAGATAAGGAATAATTCTGATTCTTTACTTCCTCCTGAGGAGCTGAAGTTAAACTCTTACATATGTAAAAAAAAAAAAACGTTCCTCCTGCTCATGTGTCAGGATGCCTTTGCGAGCTCGTTGAAGCCATTCCTCCTCCTCTGCTTGTTTAACAGGGATGTGATCTGGGCTGAGCTGAGGTTCTCCTTGTATTTATTCTGCCCGTCTTCTGGTCCAGCGCAGTCTGTGGGGATCTGAGCCTGTCTGAGTGCATGCAGTGGACAGGGGCCCATCTTAGGACAGAAGGGAATCACCACCGACAGAGGGGGGTGGGATACCGCCACTAAACCGCCCCCTACTGGAGAGATCCGAGCAGGGCATCGGTAGGAGCTCTCGTTGCTGCAGCTGCTGTGCTCAGAGAAGCGATCAATGCTAACGCAGTTCGCATTGAGTCTGATGGAGTCGCTGATGCTGTTGTGGGCGGAGCCGCGGCTCTCAAGCAGCTCCTGCCGGCCCAGGATGTGGCGCTGGATGATCTTCCGGAAGGTTTTCCGAAACTCCTGTATGCGGTAGGCGTAGATGAACGGGTTGATCACAGAGTTGGTGTGCGAGAGAATGATGGCCACGTACATGATCCAGGGCTGGGGGCGATCGCAGTGCGGGCAGAAGAGGGTGAAGCAGTTGATGATGTGCAGAGGCAGCCAGCAGACAGCAAACAGCCCGACGATGATGGCCAGAGACTTTGCGGCCTGGACCTCTTTCTGCAGCGTGGAGCGAGACCTCTCCCCGTGGAGCGCTTTCACCTCCATCAGCTTCAGCTGGCGCCGAGCGGCCATGAAGATGCACAGGTAGATGGCCAACATCAGCAGCAGGGGGATCAGCACACAGACAAGGAAGTTGAAGTAGACCATGTACTCCATGACCACCACATTCTCAAACAAGCACTTCATCAGGTTAGGGGGGCACGAGCTGTTGTCGTCACTCTTGTTGTCGGACTGCTGCTTGTTCCAGCCCATCATGGGAGTCAGGCCGATGATGATGGATAGAACCCAGCAGACGGCGATGATGCCTCGTGCACGCTCCCCTGTCACCAAGCTGTTGTACCTGGAGGGGGGAGACGATGAGCATTAAACAGCAGCACTATCTGTCGGATTACAAACTCTCTTAAAGGCTTTATATGTGATTTTTGATCCAGTAGATGTCGCCCTTGAGCACCAGCATGAAACCAAAACAACTTGTGCTGCATTGTTGTGTTAGCATGCTAATGCTAGCGATCTTTATTATGCTCGTATCTTCACACTGCATGTAAATTTACCTGAAATGAGTGTGATCTAGAAACACAGTTAAGCAGTGAGTACAGTATGTTATTCTTCTTTTCTCTAGTCCCTCAATTAAACAACTTTTATACACAAGGGGAGGAGTCAGCTGGCTGTCCTGACGATGTAAACAAACTGAAGATAAAACTCTGAAAACTCTGAAAACATCACAGACAGTGGGACTCGGGTGTTACACCCATTGTAGACAGTCATGACTCAGAGCTATTTTCAGAGGATATACTTGATATTTTAGTGTGAAAAATCACATATAAAGCCTTTAAAGTTACTGTTACTCTAACAGCCTCTCTAAAATGAATATCTCTTGTGTCTTTTGTAAACAGAATATGAAGTTCCCTCTGACTTATGAGCCGCTCTCTGGCTCTCACTTCTCATCGTACCGGAACTAAAAGCAGGAGGGGTAAACAAACTAAGTCTTTCAGGCCTCCTCAAAGGAAGAGTCTATTTTGAGGAGCGCAGTGTGGGAGAGCAGCTGATATATTTGGCTTGTTTCTGTCGCATTCTTGAGATGTTAAAGTGCAAAGGTCGACGCTGCAAAAAATCACGGAGGAAGTCTCACGTATCGTCTGCGAGAGGAGGAGGAGGAGGAGGGGGCGTAAACAGGAAAGCTGTGAGGGAGGTCCACTGTGTTCGCATGATGATGTCACAGCTTGAGCTGCAGCGTCACTGTAGATCAGCCTTTTTATTAAGTGACAGGATCAAAGGATGTACGTATATTATCCCCAACGCTTAATCCAAACTGACATCCCACATACACATTCTGACAAACACATTGTTTTTTCAGGACAGTAATAATGGTCCATTACTGGGGGGGGTTACAGGAGGTTCACATAGTCTGTGTAAGCAATTAGATCAAGATTTGTTTGAGTGTTCCTGAGGGGACGCAGCCCCCGTGGGAGATGTCATTCCTGGACACAACCATTCAGCCAAGAGTTTCTAACCACTGCGCCATCAGCGCCTGTCTTCTTCTGTTTTGAGTAGAGGTCTTTGTTTCAGGTTCTAACTTTTCTCAACATATCTCACCAACATTTGTGTTCATGGCTGGGAAACTTTAAGTGAGGCTACCTTTTATCCATTCATGAATGAATAAAGCATACACTACACTTCCTCTCTATCTGCATGAGAAACACCCTCCTCACTTATAACTTCAGAGATTCCCCCACAGTGAAGAAGTATTTAGGGCCTCTGACCGGAGCGGCAGCTTGATTGCGATGTAGCGGTCGATAGCGATGGCCAGCAGGCTGAAGATGGAGCTCTGGGTGAGGACCAGCACAAAGCAGGCGATGAACAGGCATCCGTAGAAGTTGGAGCAGAAGCCGATGCTGATGACGATGGAGAAGGGGATGGCGAGGACCCCCACGGCGATGTCGGCCACAGCCAGCGACACCACGAAGAAGTTGGTGATGGTTTGCAGGTTGCTGTTGAGGCACACGGCCCAGCAGACCAGCACATTGCCCAGCACGGAGAAGACGGCAATCAGCAGCTCCAAGACGATGTAGAGGATGGAAGCAGCAGGGGAGTCCGACATGCTGAGACAAACGGTAGGATCACTGATGATGAGGGGGGAGGAAAGCTCGTCTCAACGACCATAGCTGCAGACGGGCACTCAGCCTCCTCACCTTCAACACTTTCAGAGACATCCACCAAACAGCTGTTACCACTTCTTCACACCTGCTAAGCTGCTCAAACAGATGGGGAAGAAAAAAACTCCACTTCAGATGTCACCGCTCAAGCTCCATGAACAGGTCCCTAAATGCCTTCATTCTCTCCTGGTGCTGAGCTCCTCTGCCTGCAGGTCCTTCCCCTCTGGAGCTTTTTTCCCATGAACGTCTTGAAGGGGCTGAGATGGTGCCAACAACGCACATCACAAGGAACACAATCTCTAGCTGCAGATAAAGAGAAATAGAGGAAGTGGTGATTAATAAAGGAAGTTCATTTCTACACTCCCACTTGCATCAGAGGTGACTAAGAGCCAGAAGTGTTGCAGCAATGTGTTCTTGCTACAAAAAGATAATGTTGTGTCGCTAAGAGGAAATGGGTATTTCTGCAATCTGACCCTTACTTCTCTTAATGAAAGATATTTTTATTAATTCAAAAGAATATCAACATGATAAAAATGTTAATTTCTCTCTTGGATTAGGTCTGAGTCAGGCGTTTTATCAAATAAAAAGGAGTCAACATTATGTGATTTTTTAAGCCTTTTCATGTTTTTTAAGGTTTTAGGGGTAAAACTCTCGGGGAATACTAAATACTTTGCTCTTCTTATGGCCAAACTCAAAGAGGTCTGATGATGGTTTTAGTCGACAGTAACGGTCATGTGAGTGTGCACTTTGGAGTGGTGAGGTCCTCTGTAAACAGCCCCTCTTGACCCTGCAGAGGAGCAGTGGGAGAGCATTTTGTGTAGACCTCATCAGAGTCAAGACGCACGCACAAGATGGAAAAGGCAATACCAGAGAGGAGGGAGAGAGAGGGACTCTTGCAGCTTGAATAGACTACTCAATTGGGAGGACGTGTGAATGGCGCCTGTCCGTGTAAAATCTGTGCAGCTCGAGTGGTCTGCCTGAACTAGCTCACAGGCATCCCCTCATAACTCATTCTTCTATAGCATGCTTGTTTTTAAAGAGATAGTATATCAGCTGATTTATATGTGTGCTGATCAACTAAGACAGAAGCTAACTGAAACTAACTCTGCAATCCCCCCTCAGGTCTTTGTAGTGTTGTAGACAAGACCACACTAACCAAGACCAAGACATACCCGACAAGAGTGCAGACAGGACCAAGACCAAGGCAGGGTGAGTCCTCAATACCTGGAAGGTTGTGGGATAAAACCAGGGTATGAAAATGAAATTATGAGTAAGATTAAGTTATTCGTTCTTTTAGAACGGGGCGTTTTCCTTCTAACCACAGTGATGGAACAGCCCGGTGAACAGCTCCCGCCGGCCCAGGATGTGGACTATCGGTGGTGGTCTTGATTTAAAATCCGGAGTCTCTCCTGTCTTGAGACCAAGAACGATTTTGAGTACTACAACAATATCTCTGTGCAGCCGTATATTCAGCCCTTAGCCCAACTTTGAACTTTTTGAGTAATACACATATAATTGATGATAGATTACTTACTTCATCTATCACTTCCCCTTAACAAGTGTTTACTGTACATGTTGTCATGGACTGACTTCTACCACAGTGCTAGCTGTAAAGTGACTGAGCTCTTTATGAGCTGATTTTAAAAGAGCAGTATGTAACTCTGACCACTAGTGTTTAAAATGAGTATTGCAGTCTAAATTCTAAACATTATAGCCGGCCCCTCCTCTCTAGAGTCGATGCTCACACAGGTCACCATGTGGTGGACACTGAAGCTTCAGTGTTTATCCAGCTCTGCATGGGTCTGTAAACCTTTCTGTGTTCTAACCTCTCTCCATTTTTCAAAAGCATCTCCAATATTGATCCTAGTTTGAGCACGTTTCTGCTCGTGGAGCTTATTAGAAACATGCAGAGGCTTTTTAGGTCGGGTACAATCACTTCTATCTGAACCACTTCTCTTGACCGCTTCCATCGCTGCAACACCTGTTGACCTGATAACTGCTCTCATATCTGACAAGGATACCGTTGTATCTGTGCAGCACGGGCCCATGAGATAAACTTTATTAATCCCCAATTGAGATAAATTTTTTTAACAGCTTAAAAACATAGGAATGGCAAAAAGTAAAAGAACAAACATATGAACAGTAATTAAATGAGTAGAAAATACGCTCCTCGGAGCTGCAAGGTACAAGTGGAAGTAGGAAGAGAGTCGCTGTCGGTGTCTCAGAAAGAACAAAAACATCCACAGTTAACAGCACAGACTCAGTCTGCGAGTGCTTGCCATGGTTACTTTTTCATCTTTTTGCTTTTTGGGTGGATTTGCAAACCAATTATGTGCATACTGCCACCTGCTGTATCAGACTGTTTACATATGCAAGTACTCAGGTACTGAACGATGTTACTAATATGATCTCTGTCACGGTACAAAACAATTTGGGTTGTGATTTCTCCTTGAGGAGTTGGTGGTGGGTCCTGAGGCTTGACCAGCTGAGAACCACTCATCTAAACAATAACCATGATAGGATAGTTTTACCTAACTATCAGCACGACTGAGCGTGTTTTGTAATCCATAAATGTCGCAGGAGAGTTGTGTCTTTTGTTCACTTCAGCCAGGCTTAAGGGCATCAAAAAAGCACAATTCCTGGAAATTACATCAAATGTCCCCTGGTTGATTCGCCATAAATAATGCAGACAATAGTTGTGTTGTCCGGTGTCTCTGAGCCACACACCATAAAAGGTTTAACAAACACAAATCTGTTTTCATGGTGTGATCCCTCAGAGGGAGGCTTCTTGAGGTCACTTTGAGTTTTTAGAGATAGCAGCTGTGCTGGAACGCCGGGGTCTTTGCTCTGGGAGTCAGGGTTTTCCCTTGGACGAGACCTTTTTATTCATACCAAAGACTTGTTGTTTCAAGGCTGACAGTTATCAGGAGGTTATAACAGCCCAATCTATTTGACTTACAAATAACGATTCTGTGGGTGTCTTTCCTCTCAGCTCGGGGTATTTGTTTGTCTTAGTGGTCTCAGAGGTTCGGTGTTTCGTTTCAGTGGATTATAATGTTTAATGCAGCGGCAGTGGGTCCAAAGCTAAAACTCCCAGAGGGCAGGAAAAGGAAATGTTGCATTTATGAAAACTATGAAGGTGATTCTCCCATGCTAGCAAAGAATCTTACAATAACAAGTCATCCTTAAATAGAAATACTGAAACACATCTGAGAGACTCCAGAGACCCACAGCGAAATAAGACAACAAGGTCTTTGATATGAAAGGCTTCAGTTCACATAAACAACATAACAAGCCGAGCAAGATGGACTCAAAATGCTCCGTCACAATCACACTTAAACTCCTTGAGCATTACATCGACCGCTAGTCAACACCATGTGCAACAAGCACCGTCTGACACACAGCAACCACCGTCGGATCGCGTTGTCCCACAACCACCGCCTGACACCCAGCCACCACAATCGTACCGCCTCGTCCCACAACCACCGCCTGACACCCAGCCACCACAATCGTACCGCCTCGTCCCACAACCTCCGCCTGACGCCCAGCCACCACAATCGTACCGCCTCGTCCCACAACCTCCGCCTGACGCCCAGCCACCACAATCGTACCGCCTCGTCCCACAACCACCGCCTGACACCTAGCCACCTCCGTCTCTTGCTAGACTCTTCTCCTCTGTCGCCCCCCGGGGTTGGAACTAAGTACCAAACTCCATTCGATCTGCAGAGTCCCTCTGCACCTTTAAGAAAAAGCTAAAGACCCAGCTCTTTAAGAACACCTATGACCTTAATTATACTGATGATGACGATGACGATAGTTAGGATGGTTTCGATGCTGATTAGAACTAACTCGCAAGAACAGTTGTGCTCTGCTTCTGGTCACTTCCTGTCAGCACCATAGACTGTAAATATGAATGGACGAAGCCTGAGTGACGTCAGTCGTCTGTTCCTGCAGGGGGCTCTGGAGGCGGCAGCAGACACCATGCTGGAAATGCTGTCTCAGTCTAACTTTCAGTCAACCTAACGACAGACTGAGATCTAGAGCTGAATCGGGTTTTAAGTCTCTTGAGGAGGTCAGCTACACGCCTAACTATGGATAACACGTATCAATCATAAAATTGAAACGGAGTAGTTTCTAAAAAATTAAAACCCATACAGTGTGTACCAGTGATGACAATAACTAATAATCAAGACCTATTAAGTTTTTTGTACCAGGCTGTAAACATGTTTATTTATGCTGTAAAAACCTCTTTTTTTTTGTGTATGTGACTTCCTGTGTTCCTGCAGCCAGCCTCTAGTGGACACTTGACAAACTGCAGGATTTCACACTTCCACATTGGCTTCATTTTTCAAGACTAGCAGTTGCTGCTTGGTCAGCACCTGTGAGTCTGATCAGACTTAAAGCTGTTTGTTTGCTCTTCCTGAGGTTGTTTGCTTTCTTGCTTTTGTTTTACTTACTCTCTAATGTATGCCACTTTGGATTAAAGCGTCTGATAAAAGAATAGTAGAATGATCCTCATCATAAAGGTCAGCAGCAGCATCAACATGTGTGTAGGCGTCATGAAAGATTTTAAGGAGAGCTATAAGCAATATCACATCGAGATCCATATGTAGTCCTGATTATCAGCTCTGCTGTGATTGGGTCTGAAGATGTTTTTTTATATATATATATTTTATATTTTACATTTTTAAATTCTATTTTATATATTGTAATATATACTTATACTGTATTATTTACGTTGTTGCTAGTTCTGCTTTATTTCCTTGTTAATTGTTTAGCACCAATAGACCAAGTCAAATTCGTTGTATGTGTAAATGTACTTGGCAATAAACCCAGATTCTGATTCTGATTCTGAAGACAATGACAGCAGTGTTGATATCCAGAACAACATCTCCACCTCCAGTGTCATATTACTTTAATACAACAAGAAGAAAAGAAGAAAATAGTGATAAAAAGTAAATATCAACGACAGGTTAGTTTTTAACTCCACCAACTCAACTAGTTCCTCAGTTTAACTGAAACTAGACTGTTGCTAGGCAACCAAAACATTCTATACTCCTGTTGATGTCCATGGTAACCACAGAGCAGCTACTCTGTAGTATGAACCTTCACATGTACGATAAAATAAATTAATGTGATCATGAAACCAGTTACAATAGAGTCTGTTGTGTGACTCTGAGGTTTGAGTTTGAGACTTTTGAGTTTGAGGCCTCCCATGAGTGACATCATTGGACCTTTTACATCATGATGGAAAAGTTCCAATGATGTCACGCATGGGAGGCCTCTTGTCCAATCAGATTGCTCGGTCTGAACTAATTGTTGTAAAATGTGCTTTCAAAGCTCCAGCCAGGGGCACCAACTGTCATACTTAAACACATTTAAGTATTTAAATTATGAATAAACTTATCATTTGTATTAACTGTAGTTTTATTTAAGTATGTATGTTCAAGATAAACAAATTAGCCTAATTGCATCATTACTGTCACATTATTGCACATTATTGCTTTAACAACTGCTTTTTGGAGTTGCCAAATGCCAAAATCCACATCCAAGAGCTTTATAATGCCAGCTATTAGAGATTGTTTATTAGGGGTTTAACAGCAAAACTTTGCCCTGACCCCCCTCCCATTGTGACGCCATGTCATGTCATTAACTGCTCAACATGAACTGTTAGTTTCACTTTGTTCAGGATGTACAGGTTTTTATCTCCACATGACATGTCAACTCTTTAGAGATGATTCTTTATTAGTGAGTCTGACTGGATGGTGAAGGTTTAGTACCTCTGCATCAGACACACGTGGAGTCCCACACGGTCGACACAGCCTGCAGGAACAATGCGAGGTCATTCTATTGTGGTTTATTGCTGCTTTGTTTTGTTCTCACTGCAAGGTGAGGAGAGTTAACACCCAGTTTTGGGACACCTTGTACAAGCTTTACTGTGTTCCTCCTTCATTTCACACACGCTCTCAGATAAAAGCAGCTGACGGTGAGGGCTCTTAGTTACTTGTGATGCAAATGTTTGAGCAGCCCTACAACACCTTTCACAAAGTTTAATAACCCTTTTCTAATATCAATAAATACATTTAAGCACATAGATTAAATAGAAAATATAAATATATGTTAGATTCCAATGTTAAAAAATCAGGTTTTGATGTTTTTTTGCAGCAATAAACATTTTGAGAAACTGAAAAGACTCACCTCTCGATGTCCATCAGTCACTGGTGATTCCCGACTAACAGAATGATTATATTCTAGTTAAGTCTGATAGCACTTCAGGAAATCAAGTTAAAAAAAAAACAACAACTCTTCACCTCCCACTGAGTGAAAAACCTCTCCCACAAACTTGATTAAAAAAAAACCCGCCTGATTACTTCACTTGATCCTGTTGTTCAAGTCAAAGTAATAAAAGCACCATGAGAGTTTGATCAGTTCCTCCTGCTGACGTTTTACAACTCACACTGCTTCTTATGTGAAATGCTTCAGACGCTCTTTTCCTCCCTCCCTCACACACCACACACAGACACACAGACACACACACACAAACACACACCCCTCATAAAACATATTAGCATTCTGTTTCCTCTGCGGGGGCGGATCAGTTCAAATCCTGTTGTGTCTACATGACTCTTGCTGACACACTTTAAACTTGTTTTCATGTCTAGTCTTAATAATCCAGTTAACCTGGACAAATTCTCACAGAAGACAAATAAACAGATACTATATGTCTGATGCCACTTACCTCTCACACTCGGATTTCCTCTTAAATAAAACATGCTGCAGCTTGTATACTAACTAGAACTAGGAAAAGGGACCACATTACTCCTGTGTTAGCTTCTCTGCACTGGCTCCCTATGAAATCTAGAATAGAATTTAAAATCCTTCTTCTCACCTACAAAGCTCTAAATGGTAAGGCACCATCTTAGATGGCTACAGAGATGCCTACAGAGCTACTAGTGCCATACTACCCTTGAGAACATTACGGTCCCAGAGTGCAGGCCTGCTAGTGGTACCTACGGTCTCTAAATGTACTATGGGAGGTAGAGCCTTCAGTTATCAGGCCTGCTCGTGGTACCTACAGTCTCTAAATGTACTATGGGAGGTAGAGCCTTCAGTTATCAGGCCTGCTCGTGGTACCTACAGTCTCTAAATGTACTATGGGAGGTAGAGCCTTCAGTTATCAGGCCTGCTCGTGGTACCTACAGTCTCTAAATGTACTATGGGAGGTAGAGCCTTCAGTTATCAGGCCTGCTCGTGGTACCTACGGTCTCTAAATGTTCTATGGGAGGTAGAGACTTCAGCTCTAGAGACACACTCTGTACTTTTGAGAATAGACTTCAAACTTTCCTTTATGATAAATCTTATACTTAGTGCTGGTGTAGACCAGCTCCTAGTTATGCTGCTATAGTCTTAGACTACCGGGGGAACTTGCACCTTGAGCTCCTATCGCCCTCCTTTCTCTCTGTGTGCATTCACATCATATTACTGTAAATCTCAGTTACCAACCATATATTTCCTGGGAGCTCCTGAGCTCTCTTAGGGTCCTTGGGACTTGCCTGAACAAGTGGAGCTGGGGAATCGAGCCCTCAGCCTTCTGGTTGAGAGACTGCGACTCTACCAACTGAGTCTCAGCCACCTGGTTATCTTTAAGTTTTCTGCTTTTCGTCATGCTCCAGATTTCTGCCTGTTCATCATGAGTCTGGTTCTGCTCCAGGTTTCTGCCTGATCATCATGAGTCTGGTTCTGTTCCAGGTTTCTGCCTGATCATCATGAGCCTAAATAATCTAGAATATAATAAAGAGTAAGGTCTTTTACCTTGTTAGGACATATAGGAGAACAACCATGGCTGTTTTAATGGTCTTTTAATACTTCTGCCAGATAAAATAAAGCAACATAAAATTCAGACAGCTTTTTTTTTTTTTTTTTTTTTTACAACTGATTATGATAGTGTGAACTTAATACTGTAGCTTAGTCCCTTCTAGACAAACAAAGACGCATACACACGCTCACCAAACAGATTGTATCATTCAGCTTTAACTTGGCCCACGCAGGGATCATTTCAGCACTGCATGTAGTGTAAAGAAAACAAAAGACATTTTCCACATCCAAAACGTGGCAATTGGGTGAAAAAGGCAACATGGAAACAAAATATGTTCAGTGAAATTCTCAGAGCATTTTCAAGTAAACAAATAAAGTAGCATTATGAAGTGGACCAAAGGAAGATTCAATGCACTTTTCACATTTGCTTTGCTTGTTGTGGTAAAGAGCATCATCTCAGGTCTCAAACAGTGTAACAGTGGAACGTGCTGCCGAGCGGTCGGCGGCCGTCTGGCATCAGCAGTCCGACCTCAAGTGTCCATAAATCGCTCGACATCGGTAAAGTTGGAGCTCATAACGTCCAAGGATCACTAAAGCGTGATCAAACACATTTCACTTTCAGGATGGAGAAGATTCAAATCTTTCTGAAATTCTCACACGTTCCCGTCAGGAGCCATTAATCAAAGGGGGCCTGCGGCCAAACCAAGCAGAACATAATCAAACAGTTGGCTGATAATCATCCTCAGCATCACGGCACCACACACTGCTATCTACAGAGCGCCAATACCTTCCAATGTATTTAAATTCACTCACACTCTCTCCATGAACAAAATAAAAAAAATGTCATTGTCGCAGGCTCTTGTGCTAACTTTCATTCACTGAATGTCTCTGCAGTTGTACACGTTGGGCTGATGTGGCAAACAGCACCAGCAGGATGTGCTTCTAAATCTTGACTCAGACCTTCGTCTGATGTAGCCATGTATACAGTCCGGTAGCTTCATCTGACCCAGGTCAAAACAGCATTTGGACACTTTAACCGCGACCCTGGCTGAATTCATCCAGCTCCCCCCCCCAAACCGGTTCTGTGACCATCACTCTCTGGAGGGCCCAATCAAGAACCTCATTTTAGCGTCACAGTTCCACTCCCAGAAGCTCAGGCTACACAGCTAAGGCAGGAAATGAGTGTGATATCCAAAAAGCGTTTCTCAGAACAGCTACTAACGTCTGTGTAATCGATACAGACACCCAGATAAAGCAATGACCTCACTTCTATGATTAGAAACTAGGCAAATAAATACAGTAAACTTGGTATGTTGAGGCACAATAAACACAACATCAGTCAGATAGCACTTCACGGAAACACTTCCTTCAAAGTCCCCCGAATTAAGAATCGCAGAACAGAATTTGTAAGCGTTCGATAAATGTGTTAAAGCGTATTGTACTGTTTAAAGCACATGAAATGGCGTGTAACGCCTGCTGACAACTTCTGCACCGGCGTCCTTATAAGCTACGACTACATCAAAGTGTGTTATTAACCATTTGTTTTGATGCTTAATCTGGGGGACATAAAGGCTGACCTTCAGCTATAAAGTCGCCAAATGAAGTTTTTTTTAACATGACGCAACACAAAAAAACAATCATCATGGTAACAGTTTGTGATACTTCTAATGTCAAAAAAACATCTTGTTTGAAACAATTAGAGCAATCACACCTAAATAAATCACGGGCACAATCGAATCGTCCGATTAATTGTTAAGGTTATTTGGTCAACGAACGAGATTAAGAGTTCAGCAACAATCGTTGATGTTACAGACACAGCTCGGATATTTGGAGAATTATTTTTTATCACCGTCGTGCCGAGCGTTAATGACAAGATTTCTGTAAGTTAGATATAAAGTTACAGCTAGCAGGAGATTAGCTTAGCTTAGCATTAAAACTTAAATTAAAGCACAGAGGAGAACAGGTGTCAGGCTCCGTCTTCACACCAGCATCTCTAAAGCTTATTAGCACAACTCAGATATAACAGTTTAAACAGCAAGCTTTATTAATAAAGTCAGAAGGACGTGGAGGTATCAGGGACGAATAAACGACTCCACGTTTCACCGAGTTCTTCACATTGTTAAACGTGGTGATGTCTAAAGTAGCTAGACTGCGCTCAGGATGCCCACTGCAGCGCTGTGTGTACCGATGTGTGGCCTGAGAGGAAGGTCGACACCCTCCACTGGCCGGCCTGCTACGTGAATTTAAGCTACAATATTGTAGGAGCATGAGTGAATAAATGTGATAAATGCACGAGTTGACTTTGGACAGAGCCAGGCTAGCCGTTTTAATCTGGTTTCCAGTCTTTATGCTAAGCTAAACTAAACTAAGCTAAGCTAAGCTAACTAGCAGGTTTTAGCTTCAAATTTGCAGCATTGATGGCGCCTCAATCTTCTCATTTTGTTATGAAAAAGAAAGGGAAAACGTTTTCATAAATAAGTGGAATTATTCCTTTAAAGAAAGAAGCATTTACCTTCAAGTAGACGTTTTGTTAAGCTGGTATTCAGATACTGAGGTGATGATGAAATGACGCTGTGTACTGTATGTTGTATGTGTACCCAATGAAAGAAGTCTACATGCAGGACGCCAGCTGCAGGCCTCATCTATGCACACACACTTTACTCTGAAAATGACTTCTTCTCTCACCATAAAGTGACAGTAAAGTCACGTTCAGTGTGCTATGTTTCATTTATGTTTTCATTGTATGATCGTGTAACTGCTCGGCACCTGAGGACGCAGGTTGGCTGTGCACCGGGTACCCTGTTGGTCCTTCACATTACGCTCTCAGTTTACCGTTTAGTGTTTAAATCCATACACATTACAGGAATGTTAGCTAACGAGCTGCACTGCTGCTTAACAGAATGTGTAGTCGTTTTGAGGAGCGTAGCATATTTCTGTGTTCGGAGAATGAAAATAAAAAACATGATAGGATGTGGATGTAGAAGCTGTCTGCAGTGTCAGTCTGTCCTGATGACCAACTCGCCACAACATCAACACTATAAAAGGCGTCTGAAACATATTTGGCAACAACTTGTTGAATCTTCAGCTTCACAAACTGTAGTGAAAAAAAACAAAACACAAAAACACACTCTGCCTCTGCAATGATCAGGCCCGGAGAGGGAGCTAAAATCCGGGTCTCCTGCATCAATCGCTCACACAGGCACTTTATCCGTTAAAAGAGAGGCATCTGTATCGTAGTGGAAGACTTGGTGCAAAAAAAGGCTGCGTCCATCTGAATCTCCAGGCTTGGCGGGGAATTCCAACATCCCTAACATTTGGTTCGATACTCTGTGGGAGCTGCGTATTTCCACAAAATATCCAGAAGAAAAATGGCGGTGAATCCCTCTGCTTGCTAAGTAGCACATTGAAAGTCTGAAAACACCTTAAACATGAGTTTACTGTGATGGACGATAAGCCAGGGAGAAGGCACTGAAACTTGGTTTCTTTTTCTTGCAGCTTCTTCAGAAGATCCCTGGAGGCAGACATGATCTTAGAGTCAGTTCCTACTTGGTTCATTAGTTACCAACAGTAAAAAGGCAAGCCCTACACAAGTCACCCTCAGCACTGCATGGAGGATAGCGTAGCTGTGTGTTTGTGTCCAGTGAGGCTGTGGTCTGCTTTGTAGTGTTGAGTCATGCTGAGGACTGACATGCAGCGTGTGTGAGA